AGAGCAAACTGGCGTACAGCACGGAATAGCTCATCTGGATTTTAGAAAAGGATCTGGTGCTATGTGTTGTCTGACCAGAAAGACAAAATGTTCCATGATGGCTTCTCCGCCCTGAAACGTATTCCCAACCCCAACCCACTACCTGCGGTCAGTACTAGAATGTGTTGAGTCACCTCGCTGAAGTTTCGAATGTCTTAAGCATGGGTCAGATGTCCATTTCGACAATGTCAAATCAGGTAAACGAGGAGTATGTCGTTTGCGCTGTTGATCGACCAACCACAGTGCTGTTGAATGAGAAGTTCATTCGACCCATCAAGGACAAAGTTAAATTGAAGTGTCACAGGGAGAGACACTGAATGACAAGACAGCTGTCAATACAAGTAATCTCAAAATTGGTCTCCTGAGTGCTGGCATGTCACACAGCCAACAAGAATTTAATGGACGAGGTTGATTGAAGATCGGTGGTACAGCTAGCCGGGACGCCAAGATGAAGTAATGCAGAATGCAGAATATTGCTGGGAAGGTAGTCGGGTGGTACTGTCTCTGTTGCCCTACCATATGGTGTGACCAATCTCACGGCGTATTCTAAGTGTGTCCAGGATGCGCAAACCTCGCGCATCTACGAGGCACGCATGTGCCTCCACCCCAAAGACGGTTCCGAAAGGCAATGATGGGTGGGCACTGGAAGGTCACTCTTGCCATTATGAAGAGCGTTGATCTGATATCACATATACCAGAAGGGCATTGCCTGAGAGTTGTTGCGATGTTTAATAAATCTTCCTTGGTCAGAGCTAGGAAATGCCGGAAACCAACATTTACTCCAGGCCGATCGACCTCCTTTCAACTCTCACCAGCCAATCTTAGTCATGCTCGTTGACGACCCGGCTTCTCATTTCCAGATGGGTGATCTGTTTGCGTGTGGGCATTGGTGATAAGCCATGAGCAATTTGCGTAACAACAATTTTACAAAAGAGGTGCATTTACGCGGCCGACAGCTCGAATGCTCAGTTGCATGAGCGCAGTGCAAGGAGAACGTGAGAACGGAGTATGACGACAATGCGAATCATCCACAGCACGGTGTTCTCCATCAAGCGGTAGTCCAATTGGTTTGCGCCAGGCCTTGTTCTCGTCACCATTCTCTAGACCTTATGTATGCAGGTATGCAGGTAGCCGGGTGGGGTCTGCTATCCTTGGGGAAACTAAAGTCAAGCATCTCTCTGATTCAACAAATTAAGACTCTGGGCGTATAATACTGAAGGCGGGTAGGGCGCTTGACCCGATCTAGTAATATACCTCGATAGAAGACAGCCAAAGACTTGAAAAGATGCGACAACCTGGTCTCCTTATGAAAGACCAGATTTACCAGCCCCTGTCCTCTGCTTTGTCGGGTGACTTCTCGTGCATAGCAGGAGATCGATATGAACACTGCACAGCTGCATTCCACATCCTGTATTAAGGGTTGACAAGGGGCAGGAGATGCTTTCAATTGTTGGCACTCGCCTGAAAAGGGTTTGAGTTTCCTGTGTTTCAGATCAATCTTGCGTAGCAGAAACATTGACAGGATCGCTGGCGTGTCTACCACCTCATCGGGATGAGCCCGAACTTTGTTTCTGCGACAAGTTTTGAGAGCAGCCCAATCTCGTCAAAGCATCTCAGGGTATAGAAACGAGATGTCCAACCACATCGCATGTATGATGAAGCTAATGATCTTGACTGCCGCGGGAACGTCGAACCGAGTTCTGGAAACGCAGGGGAAAAGAAGCTTTGCTGAGGATATGTAAAAGCGTTGGACTGGCCCATGTCTGACAACGGGCAATATACTTTGTGTACAGAGTATATGAAATTAGAAAGTAAGAAATCAGCCATAAAAAGAAAGGCTGGTGGTTGGGGACTTCGACTGCTCCGATGCCAAATGCCAATGCGTCGGCTTTGAGCGGGAATTTGGCGTGGGTTTGCTAATCCAGAAGATACGGTTCCGGGTTGTGATATCAGATAGCTGCCCTGCTCAGTATTGAGTCATAGGGTCGTTGTAGCTTGACTTGGGAGGTGGAGGGTCTTCTCATCAATCCGAGTTCCAAGTCTGGAGAATGCCATGGTCAACCTTGGCACTGAAGAGCAAACATTGTAACTAACTACTGTAACTAAGTTACAGTAGTGCTTCTGTACCTGACAACCTAGAAATTCACAACAGAATTCTGGCCAATTTTCAGTCGAGATCACATTTGGAGCTTACTGGTATGTTTTCGTCCTCGAGATGAACAAGGAGCCCATACATCCAGAACTCCCCTGTCAAGCTCAAAGTTCCGGGGAGCGGCGGTTGTGTATATGCCCCGTATGGAAGACGGCTCCAAGTTCCTTGAAGCATGCCGGCCACGGAAAGAAAATGCACAGCGACAAAGCAGCTCAAGATGAAATCCGCTGATTTGTCTTGCATTCGCTAATGCATTGGCTTTCAATCTGCACTGATCCTGTTCTGGGAGATGGTCGAGAAAGAGGTATCTGAGATAGGTGATGTTGCGGCGTGATTCTTCAAGGCTGTAGCTCTTTCACAAGCACGATATGCTCGTGGATGGATCCACTGCTATGGTTGAGCCATGCACCCAAAATATCATGCCTGTGTGGACTAACTCCTAGCCCCTTGAAAGCAGAAAAAGAGAATGGAAGGGTCAACGATGGACCCATCTTACACGTACGTACACCATATACAACTTCTTACTCGAGATTGGAGTGCTGCCACTATTCCCTGCAACCCCAAGTCGTAACTTTGAATCAATGTCCGCGAGATCCGTTTTGCAGATATTCAATCACCTGCCAATAGAAAGACATCCATATTGCTGGCAGCAGACGACGCTGCAGTGGTTTGTCCCTCCTCCATTTAGAGTGTCGAATTCCCATTGCATTCTTTTGTTGTGCTGCAATACTCCCATCTGCCTTGAAGACGTGATCACCTTCGTCCTTGCAAGACGAGAGTCCTTGCAGCCTCCAAGGTCACCCATTCTGAGTACTTTCTCACTGCTTCTAGCAGTAGATCGAAACACCCGGGCAGTCCTGTAGATACTCCGCTGTCATATTCATACCACTGGTTGTTCGACAAATCGATCTGCTCGGCTCCCTACGAAACCGAGGACGGCGGAAACCGATTGGACCTCCTTCTATGAGCCTGCACCCCGTTCTCACAGCGTCTGATCTGCTCATATTGACCTGCCCTCAAGAAGCATCGGCTTGACACGTCGATTCCATTCATCAAACAATCCCAATCGCTACATGCATGTCGCCTGTTCTGGCAATTTCCAATCGACCATGACCAGCTATACCCCACCACGCAGCAGTCAGGATCTAAATCACTTCATGGCCAGCCCTTCGCTCGCAATACCACATTATACAAACAATGACAACAACTATAACTACAGTCCTCACCCGCAGTATGAGAACGTTTCTCCCACCCACTCGACATACGCGGCATCCTTCATCTCGTCTCAACATCAAGACACGCATTATTTGTCCGAAAACCTGCAGATGGCAGCACAGTATCCTTACAGTACACCACTTCTAAACAATGGTGCATACCATCACAGGCCTCTTGCTCAAACGACTCCTTATTCCTTGCAGCAACTTTCACAACATCCTCTTGCGCAAAGTCCTCGGTATTCTAACCATCATGATCCTTACCAGCATTCAGACGTGGAGAGCCAGGAGTCAGCGAACGAGCGTACCATGCTGTCCGAGCCTGTGCTGCCTCCCTTAGATGGCTTTCCTGATATCAAGGAGTTCGACCGGCTCATTAACTTGTATGTGCTCATTCTCGGGCTTCACAGCTGTCTGCTCGTTATTGACATTAGTATCATAGCTACGTGGAGAGTCTCTCATCCAAGAAGCAAGACAAGGCGTTGATACATGCAAGACGAGCCAGAAACATCAAAGCGGTCTTGATTGACAAGAAGACAACGGCAGTGGAATCTGCGCAGTTTCGGTGAGCAGACTTTCCACTTCCAAAATCAAAGTGCACTCGGACCGTTTCTCCATCGGGGTGTCCAGATTCAAAGCTCGACGTTTAGTCGAGCAATTCAGTTCAGATTCTGATCCGAATTACACTAGCTTCTGGGTGAAGAAGATGTTCACCCTAATGCCGGACGACTCGAAAATTCCAGAGGTAAGTGACGTCGCAATACCTCTTGTAAGTAAAGTTGCTAAATCTAGTCTTTCGGTAGAGCAAACGGAAGATCTGTCATGAAGGAAAACCGGTTGCTATTCGGGAGAAGTTGTTCAAGATTCTTACCAGAGCTCATAAACAATGTCAGCATGGTGGAAGGGACAAAACATCGGCCCAGGTGCGGAGAGTTTACTCTTGGTATGCTCTTCACTGTGACATGCCATCTTGAATCTCACTTTATCCGTTTATTATCCATGATGTCTTGTGCAAAGGCCTGCCATTGACAGCATGGTGGTTAGAGTGGCGTATTGAAGACATCGAGTGCTGATGGGATGTAATAGGGTTCCAAAAGAGCTTATTTCACGATTTGTCAAAATATGTCCTACATGCAAAGCGCGACGAGGATGCAATTCTCATGTGTCACCTCCTATCTCACCAAAACACTCCTCTTCGGTATATTCATCACCACAATCTCCTGCATTACTCTCTCCGCCTGCTTCTCGGAGAGATTCGCTATTGTCGCGCCACAGCTCCATGTTGCCGTCTTCGCCTGTTGGCACACACGTTTATGGCTCACAGTATCAGGGAAATCAATGGCTCTCATCGGCTCAAAACGTCCACAGTCCTGAGCCTGTACATTCAGGGTCATCAAGTACAATGGTTTCAGGCTCATCGATGTCGAGTATTGGCCAGAATGGGTTGTCTTTGAACTACACATCCTCTGGTCTGTCCAATGGAAATGTTGGTTCTCACCGCTCTTATTCAAACGGTTATGACGCGTCCGACAACTACTCTCAACCGCACCAGTACTGAGGGACACTTTGTATACTAATTTGCAGCAAGCGTGTCTCGGTTCTATCCATCCGTATCCTTAGTGTACAAGAAGAAAGCTCAGGCATGGAGTCTGGTGACTCCAGCGCTATCCATGCAGATAAGTTTTCGAGCTCGGATACAGCATTTATTTCCCAACTAGACTTATCTGCCTTTGATGCATGCACGCGAATACGGAAAAGTGGCATTTGAGCAGGAATATCGACATCATGACGAGTTTGACGCCCTGCAAAGAAAACTGTGGTATCTCAAATGGATGGTTTCCGGATGTCCGACATCTCGGTTTCACAATTGGCTTCACATGGAAAACACGACAACTACGAGCTGTGGTTGCATGACTCATAGGAGTATGCCACATGTTAGAAGGGAGAGAGGCAAGCTCTGGCAGATAGCAGGCCCAGCTGACAGCTGTTATTACTGATACAAATTTCGGGGCCTTCGCGGGCAGTTACATACAATCCAAAAGAACTCAGTCTGACTGTGTTTGTTATTTACTATACGTCTGATATTCGCTTGCGTCGTCTCTTGTATGTTGCACGTATCATGAACACAATGACACCGAAAAAGATGGTGCTTCTCATGCTTTGGGTCTTGTGCGCCGGAAGCTGCCGCGGAAATGAAAGCTTGGCGCCTTGTAGCCCTTACTAGTAGTACTCCTAATTACTAGTACTAGTACTAGTATTAAGTTGTCTCCAGGGTCGAGATGCAAGCTGTCCATTTGCTGCATTGTGCTTTATTTCTGTCCATCAACAACCACTTCCTATATGGCAAACCCCACTTCTCAAACTACTGTATTGTGCTGTTACCTTTGCACTGTCTTTCCACGGCCTTGAGTCAACCAAAGTCCGGCAGCACAGCGCTGCCAAACATCCTAAAACCATGAATCTTTTCCGAGTTTTAGGTAAGGTGCCAGATCCGCATGCATTGCACCCTGCCCTCCCAAGAAGTATGGCTGATATTGCTCCCCCTTAGCCGACCTTTCGCACCTACTCTCCATCTTCATACTGTTACAGAAAATGAAAGCGTCAAGTGTATGAGCTCTGTCCCCCAACTGGGCGACCCCCCTGCGCAAACAGACCGGCTGACCACATGCGGCTCCCCGTTTTCAGTCATGCTCCGGCATATCATTCAAGTCGCAAGTTCTATACTTCTTCGTTTATGTAACAAGATACTTTGGTAAGTGGTCCCAACGTCTGTCCAACGGTGTTGTTGATGGCATTGCGTGTAGACCTCTTCTGGTCCTTCACAAATTCCGCATGGAACACCGTCTTCAAAATCATCTTCCTCTGTTCTAGCGCATACACGCTTTACTTGATGCTTAACGACTACAAACCGACCCATGACCCCAACCTAGACACCTTCAAAGTTAGCTACCTGCTCGGCGGGTCTGCAGTCCTCGCCGTCGTCTTTCCTTACAAGTACACACCATCCGAAATCTTGTGGGCCTTTAGTATCTGGCTGGAGTCTGTTGCGATATTACCACAGCTCTTCCTCTTACAGCGTACCGGCGAAGCGGACACGATAACAACGCATTATCTGTTTGCATTAGGCATTTATCGAGCCCTCTACATTCCCAATTGGATATACAGATACTTCACCGAAGACTACTTTGATCAGATCGCTGTCCTGGCTGGAATTGTGCAGACAGTACTGTACTCCGATTTCTTTTGGGTGTACTACACTAAGTAAGTTCCCACTCGATCTGGGCGCTTCGCTCATGGTGATACCTACTCGCTTACATGTTTCTTACCGCAGGGTCTGGAAAGGTAAAAGTTTCAAGCTTCCTGTATGATTGACGGTTTGGTCTTTGCATTGTGGCAGCCACCAGGCGTTACTTTTGTGCTTTATCACATCAGCCCGCTTCATTACGGCATTGCAAGAAGCGAACTCGGAGCATCAAGATGTGAATAGGAAAGAAAAAGAGCATTTCATCATCTATTGGGTTCCCGATAAAAGTTCTGCGTGTAAGAGACTGGCGGTTCCCGAAGTCTGTGCAACACATTCCACAAATTGCTCGAAACAACCCACTTTTGCTGCCTCGCTCTTTTCCAATTTCAGTGACCAACGGAGCTTTCGCTATGCCTGAAGTCCTTGAGTCGAGTTCGTCGTTGAAAGATGCTCAGGGATGTGATGATTCGCACGAATAAGCATACTATGTAGGAGTAGTCCACCGGCAAGTCCAAAATATGCAGGGGCCTATGGAAAGCCGCATGGAAGAGGAGCACTGTATCTTGTGAGTGAATCCGTTCAAGAAATTCATCACACACTGATCGAATCACCTGAGACAAAAGCTTTGCAAAAGCAGTACCACAGGGATCCTCATAATTCGTTGAGATTCGTCTCGTATAACGCCATCATAGACCAGTTTCCTTTCCAGACGCACCCTTTCCTGTCAACTCGATTCATGTTTCGAGGGAGGCTAGACAAGCCTGCCATATCTGCGGAGCACATTGTAGCCTTTATCGAAGCTGGACTGATTGATGCCGGCCTCGATTTATCAGAACGCTTCGGCCAAATTTCAATTCTTCACGTTTAATCAACAAACCCACTGTGTTGTCGCTTCTCAGCCGAGCCGGCGTCAGTACCTAGCCAGCACCTCTTTCGCTTTTGTTCTGATTTCTTCGAGCTCTGCGGCCAGTGGTCCATTCTCATGGAAGGGATCAAGCGATATTTTCTCGGAGGCTGCCGTTTCGTACTTGATTAACAGCTCAAAAGTTTTCACGAGGAAGTCACTTCTGACTGATGAACTTATGACCTTGTTACCCCAAATCGTGCCTCGCGCAGTCAAGAGCTCCATAACGTTCTTATTTTCAATGAGCTTTGTCACTTTGAGGATACCGTAGGCGAATTGTCTTCTCATCAAAATCTTGTGTTGGTCAAGGCTGCTTTTAAAGTCATCGAAATGATGCAATCCTCCATCAAGGTTGGGATATATCTCCATGAAATTCACCGCCGCAAGATCAAGTGTGACATTTCCATCGTGCGCGATGCTGTTGCGCCATCTGATAATGTTGTCATTTGGTTTGTGTATCCTGCCATCGATCCAGAATCTCGCAATGGTCTCAAGTCTACCTAAGCGAATCTGACAGGCGGCCCAGGTAAGTGGAAGCATCACTATCGAACAGAGTAAGTATGAATTCGGACACAGCTTTTGAGCGCAGATGTTTATACCCTTATATCGCCGTTGTAGATCTCGGTTGACCCGTTTGAGCTTGCTGGCCTCGGCTTCGAGACCGCCGATCTTTGATTCTAGTCCACCGACTTTATCCTCAAGAGCGCCGACTTTACTGTTGAGTTCACTGACCTCAGCCTTGAGATCGTTGACCTTCTTTCAAGCTCTCCTGCTTCTCTTCTGTAATGCCGGTGTCGTGACCGCGCTTTATTTAGCTTGACTGTCAAGTCTTCCACAGCCATTTTCGATTTTCCCTTGTCGCCTTCGAGGACAGCAAGCTCTGCCGATTCTTTGGTTGCATTCTCCTTTAGATTGCGGTTTTCAGCCCTCAGACGCTCGTTCTCTGCCTTCAAAATCTTGTTTTCATTTGAAGTGCTTGCGAGCTCTTCCGACCGGGTCTCAATTTGGTGAAAGTACGTTCGCAAGGCGGTGAGACAATGCTCAAAGTATTCCCTTACCATTTGTGGTTTGCTCATGGCTGGTTGATGATGCGAGTGTGTAAGCACGGTACGCTCTTTTGGCTGTGGAACATCTCCAGGCAGATCGGCGTGCACTACGGGCATAATGCCTTGTGGTGGTATGAAATCCAAACCTGCTTCGTCAAGTGCACAAGATGACAATATTCGAGACCACAGCTAAACATGGGACCCTGGTTGGGTATGGGTCAACAGGACAAGACAAAATCAGAATGTCCTCATCCACGTGAGTTGCTGTTGTTCACGGCCTAAAGCTAGATATCTCTACTCTCAGGAAGATCGAATCAGCAGGTAAACAACAATTTGGTACTGACTGATATTGCACTGTTGAGCTAGAATTGTTTTCAACTTTCATTGGATGACAAATCTCAAATGGTGAACACCGTGCAGGGCATCGCTCGAGTTTGAGTCTTCACTATGAGACCCATAGCACATCTTGAATCAACTAGCGTATATTTACCCGAGGAGAACAGCATGTCAACACCTCAATACTTTCTTCCAGAGAAGAAATTCCAATACATGTATAATTTACGGAGGTCAGAATTTGAGGCAATCTTGACGGCACCTGGTTTAGATGGCGGCTTGGGGAATACATCAAGAGTTGTGGAAGCCGACGCCTAGATGCAACGGCGGAGATTTGCGAATGTTGCAGACTGATATGCCAGCATTAAATCTGTATCTAGCCATGCTGATGCTTTGTTTTTCTTTTCTTTTTGTGGTGTTCTAGGCCACTCTGTCGTCCCTTGCTTCTTCAGCACCTTTGGACATGACTTTTGCCGTCCTTTCCCTCCTTGAAGCCGTCAAACGCGTCACTTCTGAGACGTGCTCAAAACCTCTTTTGTTACTCGAACCCATTTCGCTTTACATTCATCTCGTAGTAAGTCTCACCGAATCTAAAGTCATTGTTTGGCTCATCCTCCGGGAGCTCAATCCCACTGGACTTGATATGGGATAGCCTCGCTTCTTTCGCCTCGAAGCTTTACCTCAAGAAATAAAGCAGCGGGATCTTCCAAAGGTTGGTCTTGAAAGGCGAAGGCTTCTGCAGGACGGAATGCTGGCAAGTTAGCGGTCCACAGGGCCGTTTCTCCAGCGCCTACAAAAGTATTACATTCTGGTCCATGGTTCAGAAGGTGGTGGCCCCCCAACATTCCATTCAGCACCTTGGACACTCTCGCAAAGTGCCTCGATGAACGGCAACGCGAATACTATCACACTGCCGGTGAACGGCAACTGTCATTGCGAGCGCTTGATGAGTACGATGTAAATGCTTCTTACCTCAGTCCGTGCCACTCCAATTGGGGACCTTTCCTATGAGAGCTTAGGCAGAACTCGATGTATCTGTCTTGTCGCCGATGCTTTTGGTGTCTGGGATGAAGAGAGACGAGGGATGCGTCGAGATCTTGGAGAGCCGTGGCGCCGTCAAGGTGCCCAGTCGATATCAACTGCCAGCAACGCACGATGCTGTGCTACAAGCATAAGCCATGGAGCTTTCCCGAGCGCCTCCTGGTTGCGAGGTGGAACGATGAGGATCAGATGATGGTGCATCGTTTGCGAAAGATGCTGATAAGTGACAGAGAGGTTGGGGAGTATCTGGGCCCTGCTGAGCGTATCGAGACCACCCTTGCTGCGGAGGTGGTAATGGTAATTTTGACAAAGCAGCTGGACTGTGATGATCCGCTCGAGGTTGACAAAATCCGCATGTTCATGGAAAGAGAGGGAGGCTGTTGCAGGGTCGAGAATGATCTCCCGCGACACCCTTCGCACAGCAAGGGATTACGACGACAGTCAGCGCTGGATCGAGTACCTCAAACGCGTGTGCCTTGAGGTTTTCAAAATCATCATGGGAGGCGAGTATCGCTATGCTTGGGGCTTCTGCGTCCGCTTGGTGGTATGGAAGTTCAGAAAATGCCGTGGTGAGCCGAGTCCTTGAAGGGAAGGGAAAGGGAAGACACATGTCCCAGATCGCTGTATTTGTACAGCTTACTCCAACCATTTTAGCGTCTACGATGGGGCAGAATGGCGAGTCACAATACTACTTGGCTACGAGTTCTTTTTATAGACTTCCTGCGAAGAAAGGGGTGTCCATCCTCCTCTTCCCTTTCGATAGAAGCGCAAGTACGGTTCGCAGGCATTGGCAGGAATGACGACCTTGATCACATTCGACTAGCTAGCATGCTCTAAGTACCGTCACAAGCTGCATATCACAAGCCCGCCATCCCTGATCTGAGCGTCTCTGATTCACCGCGCTCAGAACGAGGTGGTAGGGGAAGTAGGAAAACTTGTGTGTGTAAAGTATAAATCCGAAAACTCCACGTCAGACGAGTAGTATCAATAGCCGTAGCAGTAGCAGTAGCAGTAGCAGAGCAGAGCAGTAACCACCTTCCTTCGCCTGTTGACTTTCCGTTTAGCATTGCCTGTCCAGCAGAGCCGGGTCTTTGATCATCCTTGCCGCACGAATGCCACCAGATTCAAAGAGGTCGACAGCTATCTAGCAGTCGCCGAAGGTGTTCTCGCCGGAGTATCTGGGATATAACAGGTCAGCATCTGGATTTAAGTATGATCTTGCAAGCATCGAAGCAGGCAGGCAGCAGCGCAGTCACCAGCGCCACATGACCGCCCCAGGCCGCACTCCGACTTTCCACACTCGGACGGTGAAAAAGAAAGAACAGCAACTCACGTGATGTACAGAAAGCCATCCTCGTCCTTGTGTTCCTCGTAGATGCTGCTCATGAGCGCCGCCGTCGGGGGCAGCACCTCATCCACGAAGATGAAGATGGCCTTCTCCGGGCTCAGCTTGATGCGCTTGCGGATGACGTAGACGAACTGTCCGACCGTCAGGTCGGCCGGCACCAGGTACTTCTTCTTGTCGATGGTGGCGATGTCCGACTTCTCCACTTTTTCGCAGATCACCTGTTTTGGGCAAGCATACCGATATCAGCATAAGATGCAAAAGGAAAAAGAGAGGGTTGTTGAAAGAGGGTGACAGGAGGGAGGAGGGACGCAAGAGGGCATGAGAGGTTTGGGGGGTTTGGAATGGATGGGGCGTGCTTACCGGGATGCGATCGGCGTATTTTTGACGGATGCGTTCAGCTTCTGCCTTGCGCTTTTCGAAGGGGTGCTCGTCCTTGAATTTGGAGCGCATGGTGCTGGTGGTTTGTCTGAGATAGAGGATGTGAGGCTGATAGATGTGCGACGTAGGTGTTCTGATCGATTGTGGGTTGTTACAGGTGGTAGAGGGGTTGATGTTGACGAAGTAGTAGGTGAGTAAAAGATGAAGTTGATGGCAAGGCGGCAGCCCCGCGTAATCAGTCAGAGGCGGTGGTGGATGACGCTAGTACCAATGCGGCTGGAGATACGGTGCCTGATGTTCATGCAATGATTTGGAGGTGAATATATACGTAGTATAACGTCGGAGCTATTGTCGAATCTCGTAGAAGGGAACCTTGGTACTAACTAGAGGAAAGGTCTATGGTCTTCAAAAGGTACTCGACCGTGGAAGAGGTAGAAGTTTAGGTGCTCCCACGTGCTTTGTTGAAACACTTGTCTGGTGATTCTGCTTTTACTGTTATGACTCAGAAAATAATATGCGCTACGCAAATGCACATCATGCAGAGATGTCATGTTCACAGCTTGTCGGTCTACGCGGAGTCACGGGGTTTTGTATCTTTTTGCCACTGCTCTGAATATTGCGGCTGAGAAGAGTTCATAGAGAATGGCTCATATTATCATCTCTGATAAGCCCCGAAGCAGAGAGTCCGCGCAGTTTGCTCATAATATCAGAATGTCAATGGCAGAACTGGTCCATTTTCCCATATGTGGCTAGACAGCGAATGTCCCCAAGCTTGGTGCTCACCTCTTTCTGGTAAAGACATGAGTAGATTCCAGGAGGGGGCGATACGGGTAAGGTAGCGAAGTGGGCGCTGGTGTCGCTCCATCACGGGCTTTCCTGTCGGCCTGCGCGCTATCATCCGAGCTAATCGGCCTTGATATACCATAGCTGAGGAGAGCAAAGTTCTCTTGGGCGCGACTCATCGTGAGTGTCACATCAGTGTCCAGTATTCTTAAGCAGTCAGGATAGCTGGGGCAAGTGATGCCCTCGTTTGTATGTTTGCTCAGGAGCCACCAAAATGATTTCGTCTTTCAGATCTGACCAAGTCTACATCTTCACGGCTCATGGCCCAGCACTTCAAAATCTGCCCAGGAGATGGGTGGTCCATGCCAAGGGGAGCATCTGCTTGCACCGGCTCTTTTCCATAAAGCCTTCAAGCATGCTCTTATACCGACAGGCATTCCAGTAGCCTTATACACATCGTTTATCCCAGGGTAGAAGGAAGAGGGTATTTTAAGGCACCGAAAGGTTTTAGGGGGTATGTCCCTGTATTGGAAATTAAAACGGATCTTCGGGAGGTTCTGAGGAAGCCCCAGGACTCCGAGAAGGCCCTGAAAACAGATTTGGTAGCTGATGAAGTACTTCCTGTGGGTTAAAGGGAAAGAGACCTGTTCTCTTCCATCCTGCCATGATGTTGGCATTGTTGATTGCTTGTTTCCGGGCGAGTTGGTAGTATTTGATAAGATCTTCCTTGTTCAACCACGTCTTGCAGAATCTTTTGTGGTCATCAAGGAAATTGCTGTAGCCTTGTACTAGTGGCTGAAGTGTACCCGCGTCGAGGGGCTGGACAAGTCGAGTATTATGTGGAGGTAGAATGAGAAGAATGATCTTGGCTTTAACACAAAAATCGACAAACTCGGGTGTACACTGCGAACCATGACCATCAACAATGAGCATCCTGTACTCGCCGTGCCTTCGCTTTTCTGTCAAAGGATGAAAATGTTCTTGTAACCAGTGTAGTGCTAACACATTACTTGTCCACTCCTTTTCACTGATTGCAATGCTCGATTCTCCAGTCCCGAGATGCTTGAACCCGCTATTTGGTTGGTTGACGACCTTGAAGACCATCCAGGCTGGTAGAGCTTCACCGTCGGCCGAGATACATTCCAAAACCGAAGCCCACTGTCTGTTTCCTTCCTGCCGCATGTACGCTTGCCTTTTCTCCATCGGGATCAGCACGCTGGATTGCTGATTTGCTCCTGTCAGAAGGCCTTTTTCGTCCATGTTGTACACATCGGTGGACGCGATCGCATGGGTTTTACGTAGGTCACTGTACAGCGCAAAGAACTCGTCCAATGTATCTTTCCGCATGAGCTTAGCTGTCCGTACTCGGGCTGGGGGCCGTGATAAAATTCGTTTGATGGATGGGTTCCTTGCAAGCATCCTTCGATGCCAGTTGTGGCCAATCTCAGGCGCCTCTGTATCTTTGCTACAGAGGATTTCGTTTGCAAATTCATGCAAGTGCCTGATACCAAGAGGTAGGCCCGACTCATAATGCTGGAGCGCTTTCCGAATGATGAGCTTTTCTTCTTGCGGAGTTAACCGCTGACGAGATTGATGTGCTACTGATGCAGACTGGACTGAATGATTCAACCTTCGAGTAACGGTCGATGGAGCTACGTTGTATTTCTTTGCGGCTTTCCTGGCGCTGATTCCATTTTCTTTCTGGCATTCTGCGATGGCTAGTTCAATGCGCTCTCCCTTTGGTAAGTCTGCTGGGTTCTCTGCCATATCCTCCGTCGAGTTTTCTGCCGTGTTCTCCGTCGTGATTTCTACTGGGTTCTCTGTCATGTTCTCTACCGTGTTTCCTGTCATGTTCTCTGCCATGCTTAAATGGAGCATAAGTGTCTCTAGAGAGACACTGTCAGATAGCTTAGATCTGACCTTCTCATGTATGGTGAATATGGAACAAGACAACAGGAGCATTTGACGTTGCATTGGCCAGTCTGTTTCATCTGCAAACTGGGCACGCTAACTACTATTCCCGAGCTTCTGCCGATACAAACACAATTGGACCACAGAAATGCAGCTCTCATATACACCACTCAATTTTCAGCATGTGGAGATTGAAGGGATACGATCCTTATTGGAATGTCTTTCGCACACCATCGACAAGGTCTCGTCGAAAACTGGGCTCACCAAAGCCACCTGCACCCCGACCGTTCTCTGTTTCTCGTCGAGTCTTAGCACAGCAAATTGACCCTGCAAAGCGGCGGACAGTATGGCGACACTACCTTCAGATCTCCTTTGGGGTTGTATTCGTTGGCGCCATCATTTACAATATGGCGACTGCATCATCCACGGAGCTCGACTCACCCTCCCCTGTCAAATTCTCTAAGCCGTCAACTACCCTAGCAGAGGTAGACGAGGTCACGAAGAGGAGGACCAGGATCACACGACTCTCTCCTATGCGGCTTCGAATGGAAGCTCTGATTAATGATCATCAGAATCGTATCGTCTTCGCACTTGAGAATATTGATGGCAAGAAGTTCCGAAGAGACAACTGGAGCAGGCCAAACGGTGGTGGAGGAACCTCGTGCGTTTTACAGGAAGGAAACGTGTTTGAAAAGGCGGGTGTCAACACGAGTATTGTATACGGTACATTACCACGACCAGCAATCGAAAAAATGAGGGCAGACCACAAGTCTTTCGTTGATGCGGACGTGGAGTCGCTTGATTTTTTCGCCGCTGGTATTTCTCTGGTATTGCATCCGCACAATCCAATGGCGCCTACAGTCCATCTCAACTACCGATACTTCGAAACCTCGGACCCGAGAGACCCTGTCAATGCTACGGGTCAAGTCACCCAGAATTGGTGGTTCGGCGGCGGAACAGATCTTACTCCAAGCTACTTGTTTGAGGAGGATGCGCAACATTTCCACACAACCATCAAGACTGCATGTGACAAGCATGACAAGGAATATTATCCAAAGTTCAAGAAGTGGTGTGATGAATACTTCAGAATACCACATCGGGATGAATCGAGAGGTCTTGGTGGCATTTTCTTCGATGATCTAGATGCTTCATCTAGGCCACTAGCCAAGAATCCGCAGGAAGACATCTTTCAGTTCGTTACGACTGGTCTAGAGGCTTTTTTACCATCATATCTTCCCATCTTGAAAAGGAGGAAAGACATGCCATATCTACCAGAGCACAAGCTATGGCAACAAATCCGGCGGGGCCGTTATGTGGAATTTAATCTAGTTAATGACAGAGGTACGAGCTTCGGATTACGAACACCAGGCGCGCGTATTGAGAGCATTCTTATGAGTCTACCTCTGACAGCAAGGTGGGAATACATGCATCCTTGGTCTGGGATTGGAGTTGAGCATACACAAGAAGAGGCAGGCGGTGAGACCGGCATTAAAGAAAGGGAATTGATGCAAGTACTTAAGAAGCCTAGAGACTGGATTACTTGATGGGAACAATGGGAGGTAACGCCAGAGAAGAAGTAGTATCCACTTTCACAAGTGGTAGCAGGTGGATGCTATTTCCCAGCAAGCGAGCGGCTTTGAAGCCATGCATCTTCTGTTACTCACCCAGCACACCGCCCTTCGCCCTTCATTGAACCCTTGAAGCGGGACAGCTCGAGCTACCTCTGCTTCGGAGGGCCTTCTTGTGGTCAAGAGACTTCCTTGTGCATGACTGCTTCTTAAGAACACCCCATCCGTGAAAGACTTTGCTACTTTACCGAAAAAGTGAGGCTGCGTTGTCAACAAACAAATATTTCGCCGGGGCCACCACAATCAACCTACACCCAATTGTGTAGAAGACGTAGAATCCAATCCGTCCAGTCTGTGATTGCTTCATGCTTTCAAAGCACGAAATTCCGCCGAGACAAACAGGCAATGTCTGATTGACCAACACTTCCCTTGTGTTTCCCACGAGGAGCAGCTAGTCAACAGTCATATGCAACGGGAATAAGCCAGGAAAAGAGGGGTGGTCCGGCAGGATCGGCGAAGGGCTTCTTTCTTTCATTGACCACCAAGAGTATTTTTGAATCAGAGATATGAAAGGAAAGGCGCAGACTAAGCCACAGCTTAAGCCGAGCACGAAACGGAAACGTCAAAGTGATGCCAACACAGATGCAGGGGAGCCGAAGAAAAGGCAGAGGCATGACTCTGACCAAGCTATTTCAACACCAAATCACTCCGAAACCACGTTGAACAAGACTGCACACTCTTTCCCTAGGCCTCACGCTTTAAACCGACTTTCCAAGATTGCATTACAACCTCGAGCCAACAACGAAGTGTTGACTGATGGGGGTGAAAGCATGCAAGAGCAGAGAAACAGTTTGATGTTTGCGGAAAACGAAGATAAGGTTGAAGATAATTCTCTCAAAACCCAATGTGATGACAATGGAGGATGTGAGAATGATCTCCTCAATGCGTCCATACCACGATCATCGCAGGAAGCAGTGAAGGAGAGCCTCAAGCTGAAAGAAGTTGAGGACATGACTAATGAATATTTTGGGAGGGAGAATCTTCATGAGAAAGGCTTAGCCATAGACGTTTCGATTGAGAGCAATGCAGCCCAGATATGGCCGCGTTGTGCACGACCTTGTCAGAATTGTCGGAGTACTCACGTTGCAATTCCTGGATCTACTATATCTCAAGATTGCGTCAAGATATCGATGTTCATCTACAAAGAGCCAGCTTCCGTGACTGACCAGACTAAGCGTCAAAACTCATTAGTACCCACTGATGAATATGAATTGGCCGTTCTAGGTTGGCTGATCTGGTCAACTTACGAGCATCGGATGGCCTTGAGGGACGCCACTCTAGGAATGCATCCTAAAGGAAATCGTTGGAAGCACTATATCCGCACTGAGCTTGTCCGCTCTGGCAACAAATCCTGCTGGGACCATCTTAGCAAGGCCCAATTTCAAAATTGGTGGAATGGGAGGAAGAACTTGAAGAGCTGCAGTGGCATGCGGTGGCTCAATGTCACGTTCGATTGGGACATGGGAGACACTGATCTACCCCTTGCGAGTTTTGGGTCCATGGGGCGCCTTTTTAGTCTCCCACAAGCGAAACTTTCTCATGGCATATGCTCAAAAACCCCTACCGATAAAAGAGTAAAGCCACCGACCGAGAATCAGAGCGGATGTGTCGAAGTCGCTGAAGGCATTCAAGATAACAAGTCTAGTCACGGAGACGATGACACTGGTGACAGAGACTCAAAGGTAGACACAGCCACTGCGGAGGACAAGGAAGCCAAACACGGTGTTGAAAAGCTAGGTGTCGGCGACCTGGAAAAGGCCGAAGGTCAGAGCAGCCGAACCGGCTCTACGATTCATCAGTTCCGGGAAAAGTCTCCGTCCAGCAGTGACACCAGTAGCCAAGGGGATGACGACGATTTCATGTGATTGCTGGCCAGAGAGTAATCGGAGAAGGTAGCTAGTAAGCGTCTTGATTCTGAGGGACTTCCTCGTCGACGTAGCGAACAGGTGCAATATCAAGAACATGCACACTCCATGCTACCAAATATACGCACTTCTTCATCCAGGCGTATTCAGGTCATGAAGGTCGGGTTCGACTTTCCATCTTGTACCCAGAGTCTCCAATTCCAGTTGATTCATGAATTTTCTGCAGCGACTGATCTTGTGCTGGTGCTTTGCCTCCATCCATTCACCCCTGGGCCACCATGCCGGCCTTACGTGGTCATTGAGTAACCTGCTCTGCAATTCTCCTGGTTGTTGCTGCCCACTAAGTTAGGACGTTTGTTGAAGAAGGACCAATGGCTGGATCGGTCGCTCCGGTGCGTTCCGGCCAGTTAGATTCGCTCTTTCAAATAGCCTGAACCTGCTGCAGGTATTACATCGTACCTTCTAGTTGCAAATAAGTTTACTGCCTTTAGCAGTGCATGAAAGGCACCTTTCCCTTGCTACGCCCAAATGGGCTTTTAGTAGCTACAACGCCATGCCTTCTGCATGTATTATTCTGCGGCTTACCTGTCTAGGACAACGTGAACTAGGCGTTTTCTTCTTTCTAAATCTGCATTGAGATCGTTCAAGAAGAGATACACCAGAAAACAAATGGCAAGCTCTGCTATCGTGGTGCAGCTGGCAGCAGAGCATCTACATTAATCACAGAGAGCAAGAAAGGTACTGCAAGCCGAAGTCGTACGTTATATCTACCTTTAGGACTAACGCAGCTCGTTCTGTGAACAACACAGCTCCGACTTACGTGTCAAAAAGCTCATCTGCCTCAATAACAGGAAGGAAAGGTTATGCGAATTCAGAAGAACAGAGATCTCACCAATCGCTGTCAAGCCTACAGTCATGCAAACCGTGCCAACACCAAGTACTGCGTATCTTTGACTTTATGTGCATTATATTATATCTCATCTTCATGCATGAATAGACAACCAACCCACTCCATTCCAGTCTAAGTGATGTCATCTACCTCTAGTTTTAGAGCGACTTTGAAGTCGAAGCCGCTCGAAACCTCAGTACTGTACGCGTTTCTTTCTTGGATAGACTGATCAAGGTGGGCGGGTCCTTCACATATAGAAAGTTTTTGTGCGACCGTTGTGCTCAGAACTGATCGGACTGCCCCATTCCCTACAGCACCTGAGGATAGAGATTACCATGCTGCCTTGTATCAAGCACCACCGAGATTGCACGCAGTTCATCGGCCATGGCTCCACAGGACGATACTTCTGATGTCTGAATCGTATCTTGTGATCGGTTCTGGTGATCCAAGGTGGTGCGAAGTTTCCAGCGTCGAAAGCTCCGAAGCGCTGGATCGAAAATCGATATACCGTGCACGACGACCGCGGAAGGATAGAGCCTCGAGCGTCGCGTTAAAAACTCAACAAGCAATCCGCTCGAACCGCACTCAGCTGCTCCATGTTTTTGGTCGGAGTCTTGCGCCATGTCCGGCAGGAGTCAGGTGGCGCGACGGATTTCGATGCATGACTCTCTGCTCCCAACGGATATCTTTCAAGAGGTACCAGTGATAAGACCGCCTCAGGCTCGAAAGCACACGACAGGCAGGTGGAAGGTGGAACTATTTCACGGCTGCGGCTCTAAGGCATAGTTGGCCACGTTGGGCATTTGGGATGATGGTACATTGTCTACTGAAATGGTCGCTTGCTTCTTGCGGAAGCGTTGTTTCTGCTGACGATGTCCGCTCCTTCGGGTATCTGCAGGATGGTTATCGCTTCAGAAATAGAGAAACAGCAACTCGGACCAGGCTCCAGTTCGAGGTGTTGTAGGAAGTATGCGGCGGAATATCTATCCCAGGATTCGCAACTTGGTCGGCGTTCAACATCCAAAACACATAACCAATACCCAACCATCGGTAATCTATAATCAATATCCTTTGGCACAGTGGTGTGGTGGTTCAATACCCCATTACCTGGGCAGGAAATAGACAGTTCCTCCCTATGGCATTCGACCACTGTTATGCAGGCACATACCCCCTAAAATCAGATAGCAGTCTTTTTCCTCCTCCTCCCTCCTCCTCCCTCCTCCTCCCTCCTCCTTCCTCTTCCTTGAAATGTGAAAATCCTTTCTCTCTTTCCTCGAATGCGCAAAAACCCATCTTCAAGGAAGGGTTTCTCCTGATCCTGAACTGTCTTTCAAACGATTTTGGGGTTTGAGCTTTTGCTTATTCGAGGTTCAGTTCTAGGTCGCTTATTGCTCTCCTTTCTTTACATGGTGACCACGAATTGTGACCATCGCATCGAAGACATATGTAGTAGAGCAAATGCATCGTAGCACATTATGCTTCAGTTTGACATGTAGGCAAAGGGAAAGGATTTCAGAGTGCCATCTGCAAATTTACATGCGGTGCGTGAACGATCCAAGACCCGATGGTTTTGAAAGCGGGATAGATTAGCAATGGATGATGAGACCACCTCCACACCATACATTGAGACAGTGCATTCAGTGAACTACTCCAGCTCTTCAGCCTTAAGCATTGCCTCAACATGCGTCGCAATGTCGCACTTCAATATCTGCACAATTCTCCTTCCAAGCACATGCATCTCGAGCTCAAGCAAGAAGCAAGACGAGCACGACGCAGATGGTCTCAAGAATCACAGGCCATTCGAAAAAAAGAAAGCACAGGTCCTCACAACCTCAACATTTCGCAAGGACGTTCCCTCAAACAAGCAAGTGTGCACCCATCTCAGATCCACCGGCTTTTGCCCTCGTTCATAAAATTCCCTAAGGTTCTCAACGTCGTTCTGTGACTCACAGGTGGACCCGCTACACCAACGGTCATCGTGAGGTTCTGAGGGTGTGATAGGAGCGCCTTACTAGCGCGTCCCGAGAGATCGGATCAGGGTTCTCAAGTTCCTGAACTTGCAACGGCGCCGTTCCTGGTAGGGCTGAAAGAGGGTCCTCGATAGGGACTTTAAGTCACAGGTAGCGGAGTTGAAGATCTGAGTACGGTATAGAGGGTCATAAGATGGTTTTCTAGCTGGGATAGTAGGGTGCTCACTCAGGTATATAAAGGTGGCAAATTTCTCATCCTTCTTCGATTTCTTCCATTCACAACAATCATATCAGCATAAAACAGCTTGAAGCATTTCGATATCATACCTCGTACAGCCAAGCATCCATCTTCTTCAACCACTCAACAACATGTATCATTCTCGACTTAATACCTCGACGACCTCTATAAATCATTGACATATCATATATATCTCACCACTCCATCAACATCTCTTACAACATGTCATCACCACCGAACATAACCCAATCACCCTCCGACATCGCCACCCCCTCACCACCACTACCCTGCATCCTGAAACGAAAAGCAGCAACAGAAAAGGACATGTTCAAGCCCAACAAGCGGCCGGCGTACAGCACGCCTCAAAAATCCAACTTCGCGCAACCATATCAGGAGGAACAACGAAAAGTGCAGAACGACCTCCCCATGTGCCCAGACATCCTCAACGACATAGTCATCCCAACCAGGGTCATACCAGCGGGCATCAAGCATCCATTCGCCCAAAAGGTTGTGGCAGGCGACGAGACAAAGATGTACCGATGGGCCGAGAAGCACAGAGACAAGGCTCACGTGCGCCAAAACAAGCATCTGAGTCCAGAAGAACGTGAAAGAGTGACAGCGAGATTCCCAAAGCAGAAAGCAGCGAAAACGGAGGAACGAAAAGCGAGAGTACCCGAGAACGCCGAATTCATCAGAGCTATCGATGTCAGCATCACAGCTCTCCACGACAAACTTTACAAGACCGGCTGGACCAAGCATGAGACCAAAGAGGAAGTGCAAGCCGCCAAGTTCCTGCATCGTTGCTGGAAGGAACTCAAGGTTGCTGCGGTGTTTCAACACGGTTCGTTCGAGCATAAGGATCTGGACAGATATGGCCTGGTGTTTGTAAGTAGCATCCTAATCTTGCTGACGTCTGTTGGACGTTGTCATGCTAACATCGAGGCAGAGCGATTATTGGCACGAGGTTGACAACAAGGACAACGCGAAGTTTTGGATACCGAGGTGGACTAAGGACAAGACGCATGGACGTTTAGTATTGGGCTGGCAGTATTTGAGGAACTGAGGAGCTGTACGAATGGAATATGTGTTATTTTGTTCTGGCATTTATGGAATTTCGGCTTGGACCCTAGGGTTATCGGACGCTCATCAGGCTTGCATTGGACACGGATATGGATGCTTTCAGGATTGCAGGTTTCGCACGATGAATCCAAATCAGATAGACCATCTCCACCAAATGCTTTCCGCGCATTCGTAACAGTCTCCACGTGAGATTCCGAAACGACGACCTTGTCTCTGGACCGAGAATGACTCACCAATGCCCGTGTTACGGCTTCTCTAGAATGTTTGAGGATATTGAAGTTTGTGCGAACTGTTCTTTAAACTCTTGGTAGATCTATCTCGGAAAGTTGGGCTGCACAATGTATCTCTCCGACAGTTCATGTCGCGGCTCGATATCTTTCTCAGTCTGACGGCTTCGAATGCCCCGTCCTCTTGGTCAGCGATTGATCCCACAACTGTGGACAATATCTCATGCCTCGTATCGGTACCTCCATTCAGATGGCAGTTAGCATAGTCCCATAGTGGCAGGCCATCGAACAGGCTTGCTTCTCTCGGCGCTTTAGATAGATGAGTATGGCCGCTCTCTATTGTGCAGTATATCAAGTGCTCTAGCAAAGCGTTCAAATTGGCTTGTTCAGCCTTTCGCTTTCAGAGTTCTTTTATTACACCATGCTTGTGCCCACGGTGCCTTAGCAGTCTCCCGTTATTCTCGTTGTATTCCCATGTTTGCATCACTTGGATCATCAACCAATTCGCTGACCCACCCTAACGGCAGAGGACGGTGCTCGACTTCCTTTTGCGACGGCACGGGCTGGTCTGCTTCGTCCATGATGATGCCTGCGTATGAAGAGGTAAAACATCAGGGAGGCGACCAAAAGCCCAACAACAGCTATTACAACTATGGCCCAAACAGGGAACTGGTGGTTCTCTGGTGTCGGAGGCGGCATGGGTGATGGTGTCTGGCTAGCTGCGGATTGAGGTGCCATTTTTGGAAGAAGTACGTTAGATCTGCGATTGACTCCGGGGATCGAAGGCAACATGGAATAAACACCGGAGGTGTTTGGGGGGCGGCAGGAGAAGCTAGACGTAGGGAGCGAGATGGAAAACGGAAAATCTGAAGTCCTGCCATCACTGCATTTTCTGCAATGGAGAGGATTCGTGCGGATCACATTTGCGGGAAAGGCCACTGTAGCCAGACCTACCTTTGCTTTGTCCTGTTGAGATTATCTCACGAATCTTCAGGCGAGTTAGCAATGGCTTCGATAGGTGCTTCGTCCGAAGTACAAAAGTTAAAGGGAGTCACACTTGCTATCTTCAGAGATGAGCACCAATTGATTCAGCCTGCGGCTAAATCAGACGTGAACTTGGCTGCGAATATAGGTCGCGCGGGGAATGACGTGCACAATGCCAGAGGATCGTTGTTACAAGGGCACTCTGTTAACCAATTAGCGAAAGATCATATTTTACAATCATTGACAAGTCTGACTACTTCCAGTTACCACCAGAATGACTGTTACTTTTAAGATGTTATATTACGCTAATGAAGAATTTTTCGCTACACCGAATACGTTAAATGCGGGAAATACTGCGCAGAAAGATGCTCCTCCTTTGGTTAATTTCCTCCTGATTATGTCTGTCGAAATGTGGCTCTCCCAAACCAAGCCGGCCAGCTCCGAACACCAGGCTAGCTGCCAAATAAATGATCAACAATCAAGTGATATGAATGGCCCAAGGTACTGGTGGCTAGTGTGTTACCAACTCACAATCAACAAGCTGATGATCACGGGGTGATGTTACTATGACGGACTGACCGTACCAAGGACGAGTCATGCAAGCTGCGGAACAAAGAGGTTTAAACATGGGAGATGCGGCAGCTGCCAGGAGCTCAAGCGAACCAAAGTGCTTGGTGATGGCAAATGCATAATCGGGATGTCAGTTTAGAGAGGAATCAAGATGATTCAATGGAATAACATGCAGTCGCTCTGCATGCCCTGTTTTCAATCCCAGGCTCACAGGCCTCTGCTGATGCTCATTCTGAACATGGTACGTACTAGACACGAGTGCTTACAAATTTAGGGTTGCATACATGCCCATTTTCCCATCTCGTGAATAGCTTTGCTACCTAGTCAAAGGCCTTGGCTCTAAATTTCAGTCGAGGATGAGCTCCAAGTGGTGTCAGCATACATTAAATACAGGAGCATAGTCGTAATCAATGTGGTTTTCAATGACACCACCGCCTTTATCGTGATTTCAGACCGCCACTTGTTCGCCATCCAGCTGAACCATCCTATACTTCAACAAACTAATGCAATGCAAGCTGTGACTGCACACTGCACGTGTCAAGAATTGAGAAGCAGATCATGTGCAACTCTGCTTGGGAAGGATTTCGGAGAAACGCATGCGGCTCAGACGCAGGATCCGAGGAGGGAATCATCAACAAAAGTGGAGGCCCGACATCGGATTGGATGATTAAGCTGAGAACGGGAAGTCATCCTGACTATCCGAGATTTGAGCAGCACGTATCTGCTTTTCTGTATCCTCAGACACAAATGAAGTGGCGGCGTCTATTGTGTGTGTTGGGATATGGTGTTTGCTCCACATGAACCCTTGTAGCGAGTAGGGTGTGATTTATGCAGCTGCAGTTTCCCCATGGGCCATCTGGAGTGCATGATTTGCACCATTCCGTAGCTGTACTACCCACGTAAGGAAAGTGATCGGCATCATTGGGTACGATTTGCCACATCCTAACCTTAACTTGCGCCGGGAACGCGGGGCCGTAGAAGCTGGTAAAAAGCTTAAGTTCCGTCGATCAGTTAGAGGAGCTGTCTAACCTACTACGGTAATTTAGGCATAGCAGGGTTGTCCAAAAGGCTTCTCGGCTGATTCAATTGACACCACAGGTCATGTGCGAAACCAATTCTCTGTAAGTGTCTAGGATAGTAAGTGAGGCGACCGAATAACTTATTTCCTCTTAGATTCTGGCGGAAGCAACAGAGGAGGTAGAAAAGTGGAAGAAGGAATAGACCACGTGCGCATGATGCTGTCATATCAACCTAATCCGAGCAGCATGAGTGGTCAGTGATAAGGAGCTTTGACCACTAGCAACAAATCCGAAATCTCGAAGCTTTTCCGCGCTCTGTTGCTCCTGCATGAACTATCCAGACCTAGGCAATGGCTCCAACTTTCCTCGTAAAACGCAGCCTACGACGTTGCAATAACATCCTGGAATGAATATCTTTGATTGCCGTCGCCTTAGTATTGCTTAACTTGCTGCACCTCTCTCCCTCCTTCCTTTCTCAGCCCCGTTTGCAGACTTTTGAAACCACGCTAAGATCTATTGCTTCTTGGCGCCAATAGTACTCCTGCAAACCCCGCCCCAGAGTACCAATTTTTTTCCTACCGCATATCCATCACTCGCCGCCACCACGCAGAACCTTGTGAAACGAAGTCTCTGTGCATTTGCCAGTGATCGCTGTCTACTGTGCTACCCCAACCGGCATCTGAAGATTTTCTCTTTCTTCGCTCTCTGTCTGTACAGAACCCCTAGAACCAGAAGCCTTGCTTCAAACCTTAATCAACAACATACCCAGGCGAGCCTATTCAGTCGGAGAGGCAGGTGCCAAAAGAATGGGCCTGGATGTTGCAGAAATATATGGAGAAGAAATTGTGAACATTGGAAGCCAGCAAGAATACACCCCTTACCAGCCCGAAAAGGGCTATGGCTGGGCGGGCGCGTTGCCCGACAAGCAAGGCCTCTACGACCCTTCCCTAGAGAAGGATGCCTGTGGTGTAGGCTTTGCTGCGTGAGTTTACCAGGTCATTTAAGTATGATTATTACTGACTACCATTTCAGCCATATCAAGGGCAAAGCAAGCCACAAGATTATCAGCGATGGTAAGTCTGATACCACGAATTTTGAGGAAAACAGCAACTGAAACATCAAATAGCACGAAATCTACTCTGCAACATGACCCATCGGGGTGCGGTTGGATCCGATGCTCGTGATGGGGACGGAGCAGGTGTCATGACTTCCATACCTCACAAGTTCTTCATAAAAAACTTCGCGCGGGAGACTGGCTTCGAACTACCGCCCTTAGGTCAATATGCTGCTGGTAACCTTTTCTTCAAGCCGGATACAGAGATGCTCAAATATGCAACGATAAGCTTCGAGGAAGTCGCTACTTCATTGGGATTGCGTACACTTGGCTGGCGAGAAGTGCCAAAGGATTCTAGTCTGCTCGGTCCTGCAGCTCTATCTCGCGAGCCTATCATTCTTCAACCTTTTGTTGTTCTTGCTTCCGCTTATGGCGAAGGGGGCAAGCCAGACATCACAGATCCAGAGCAGTTTGATGAAATAGAGTTCGAGCGCAAACTATACGTACTAAGGAAGATGGTTTCACACGACGCGCGATACAAGCCATGGTTCTACCTTTGCTCCTTGAGCAACAAGAATATTGTTTACAAGGGTCAATTGGCTCCAGTCCAGGTATATCAATATTACCATGACCTGGTTTCTGTAGACTACGAAGGTCATTTCGCGCTCGTCCATTCGCGCTTCTCGACCAACACGTTTCCCTCCTGGGATCGCGCGCAGCCACTGCGATGGCTTGCCCACAACGGTGAGATCAATACTCTGCGTGGTAACAAGAACTGGATGAGAGCAAGAGAAGGAGTACTGAGATCGGAATTCTTTGGTGACGAACTCGAAAAGCTTTTTCCGATTGTTGAAGACGGTGGCTCTGACTCGGCGGCATTTGACAATGTCCTGGAATTGTTAGTCATGAATCGAGTCCTCTCTCTGCCAGAAGCGGTTATGATGATGGTGCCAGAGGCATGGCAAGGTAATTCAGCTATGAGTGCCGAGAAAGCTGCCTTCTACGAATACGCGGCTTGTCTTATGGAGCCATGGGACGGCCCTGCCCTATTCACATTCTCTGATGGACGATACTGTGGTGCCAATCTGGACAGGAATGGGTTGCGGCCTTGCAGATATTATGTAACTGATGATGACCGAATCATTTGCGCGTCCGAAGTTGGCACAATCTCCATTGACCCTGAGAGAATTATTCAAAAAGGCCGACTTCAGCCGGGAAAGATGTTGTTGGTTGACACTGTGGCTGGGCGCATCATTGATGATTCTGAACTGAAGCACACCGTCTCCAGTCGGCAAGGTTTCCAACAATGGCTCGATGCTAATCTGCTGAAGTTGCCAAACATTTATGATCAGTTGTCCCAGCAGCTTGATCTTTCTTACAGACTAGATGATAAGAACATCCAAGCTGATCCGATGTTGAGGGCTTTTGGATACTCTTTTGAGCAGGTAACTCTGCTTCTTGGTCCAATGGCTGCAGACTCAAAGGAAGCTTTGGGTTCCATGGGAAACGACGCTCCGCTTGCCTGCCTTGCTCAGCAGCCCCGCCTACTCTATGAATACTTCCGACAAATGTTCGCCCAGGTCACGAATCCGCCAATCGACCCAATCCGAGAAGCAATCGTCATGTCTCTGGAGTGTTACGTTGGGCCACAAGGCAACCTACTTGAGATGGACCAGTCTCAGTGCCATCGACTACTGCTTCCGTCACCTATTCTTGAGATTGAGCAGTTCAATGCTCTCAAGAACATCTCATCCCTTTACAAGGACTGGACCGTCAGAACCATCGACATCACCTTTGAGAAGATGAAAGGCATCCAAGGCTACATGGATGCTCTTGATGATATCTGTGCTGCTGCTACGGAGAGTATCCACAATGATGACAAAGTTATCGTTCTGTCGGATCGCGCGACGTCTGCAGATCGAGTACCTGTATCTGCTCTTTTGGCGACAGGTCTAGTTCATCATCACCTTGTCCGCAACAAGTGGAGGTCGAGAGTTGCGCTAATCGTTGAGACTGCCGAAGCCAGAGAAGTGCACCATATGTGCGTGTTGGTTGGTTACGGCGCCGATGGCATCAATCCTTATCTGGCTATGGAGTGCATCCTGAAATTGAAGCGCGAGAAGTCGATCAAGAAGGATCTCTCGGACGAAAAGATTATTGCGAATTACAAAGCATCTTGTGACGGAGGTATCTTGAAGGTGATGAGCAAGATGGGTATCTCTACACTACAATCATATAAGGGCGCTCAGATCTTCGAGGCTCTTGGTATCGATGATTCGGTCGTGGACCGTTGCTTTGCTGGAACAGCGACGCGTATTCGTGGTATGACTTTTGATCTTATCGCACAGGACGCCTTTGCATTTCATGAGAAGGGCTTCCCATCACGCAGCATTAATGAAATCCCAGGTCTGGTCGAATCGGGTGAGTACCATTGGCGGGACGGTGGAGAGCCTCATATCAACGATCCAGTTAGCATCGCCAACATTCAAGATGCGGTCCGCACCAAGAACGATAAGTCTTACGAGGCGTACTCTTTGTCCGAATATGAGCAGATCAAGAATTGTACTCTGCGAGGCCTCCTCGATTTCGATTTTGAGCAGCGTACACCTGTGCCTATCGACCAAGTCGAGCCGTGGACCGAGATTGTTCGAAGATTCGTGACAGGAGCGATGTCTTATGGATCTATCTCCATGGAGTCCCATTCTACCCTCGCAGTGGCAATGAACCGACTGGGTGGAAAGTCGAACACTGGTGAGGGTGGCGAAGACCCAGAACGCAGTTTGAGGATGGAAAACGGTGACAGCATGCGGTCAGCTATCAAGCAGATCGCTTCGGGACGATTCGGCGTTACCTCCAATTACCTGGCTGATGCAGATGAGCTTCAGATCAAGATGGCTCAGGGCGCCAAACCAGGCGAAGGCGGTGAGCTACCAGGTCACAAAGTATCTGGGCCAATTGCTCGAACCCGTCATTCCACACCAGGCGTTGGTCTCATCTCTCCGCCTCCACATCATGATATCTACTCCATCGAAGATCTAAAGCAACTGATTTACGACTTGAAATGTTCCAACCCACGTTCACGTGTTTCCGTCAAGCTTGTCTCGGAAGTCGGTGTCGGCATTGTTGCCTCTGGCGTTGCTAAAGCCAAGGCAGACCATATTTTGATCTCTGGCCATGACGGCGGTACTGGTGCATCTAGGTGGACAGGTATCAAATACGCTGGCTTGCCATGGGAGCTTGGTCTCGCAGAGACTCACCAGACCTTGGTTTTGAACGACCTTCGTGGCAGAATTATTGTGCAGACTGACGGCCAACTGCGCACTGGCAGGGATGTGGCTATTGCTTGCTTGCTCGGCGCTGAAGAGTGGGGTTTTGCTACAACACCGCTGATTGCCATGGGCTGCATCATGATGAGGAAATGCCACCTGAACACCTGTCCTGTCGGTATCGCTACTCAGGATCCGGAGCTTCGGAAGAGATTCCAAGGCACCCCTGAACATGTCATCAATTTCTTCTACTACATCGCCAACGAGCTGCGTGCCATCATGGCCAAGCTTGGTATCCGCACAGTCAACGAGATGGTTGGACGAGCCGAATTGTTGAAGACGCGCGATGACCTCCGCTCCGCAAAGACAGAGAATCTTGACCTGTCGCTCATTCTCACACCTGCACACTCTATCCGACCCGGCGTAGCTACGTACAATGTAAGGAAGCAGGATCACAAGCTACATGTCCGACTCGACAACAAGCTCATCGCAGAGTCTGAACTGGCCCTCGAGAAAGGACTGCCTTGCCGTATCGAGTGTGATATCGTCAACACCGATCGTACCCTGGGGGCCACCTTGTCATATCAAATCAGCAGGCGGTACGGTGAAGCCGGACTGCCACAGGACACCATCCATGCCAATATTAAGGGTTCTGCTGGCCAGTCATTTGGCGGTATGTTGGCTCCTGGTGTGACGCTTGAGCTTGAAGGTGATACCAATGACTATGTTGGCAAGATGCTTTCGGGTGGTCGTCTAATCATCTACCCTCCTCGCTCTGCAGTTTTCAAGGCAGAGGAGAACGTGCTGATTGGCAATGTTTGTTTGTATGGTGCCACAAGCGGTACGTGCTATTTCCGAGGTGTTGCAGCTGAGCGCTTCGCTGTACGCAATTCTGGCGCCACCGCCGTGGTAGAAGGTGTTGGTGACCACGGATGCGAATACATGACTGGTGGACGTGTCCTCATCCTTGGTGGGGTCGGGCGCAACTTCGCTGCGGGTATGTCTGGTGGCATCGCCTACGTTCTCGACATGAACCAAGACTTCCACTCCAAGATCAACATGGAGATGGTGGAAGTATCGGGTCTTGAGGATCCTCAGGAAATTGCCTTTGTGCGAGGCTTGATCGAGGATCATCACCACTACACCGGTTCTGAGCTTGCAGCTCGAATCCTGCTAGACTTCACCAGAGCACTGCCACGATTTGTCAAAGTTTTGCCTGTTGATTACAAGCGGGTAATGGAAGCAGAAGCCAAGAAGGCCGAAGAGGCAAAAAAGGCTCAGTATTCGTTACCAATCCTGCCAGGCACTGCTGTACGCACAATGCATGAGGAGCACCGCAAGAAGGACTTTGCAGAAGAGGAAAAGCAAAAGAAGAAAGACATGTTGGACCTCGAAGATAGCGTTGGCGATGAGAAGAAAGAGAAGAAGCGTAACGCACTGATTCTGGACAAGACCCGTGGATTCATGAAATACACTCGCCGAGCTGAAAAGTATCGCAATCCGCAGACACGAATCAAAGATTGGGCAGAGCTCTCGAGCCGGCTGAACGAGGATGAATTGAAGTTCCAAGCGGCACGCTGCATGGACTGTGGTGTTCCCTTTTGTCAGTCGGATACTGGCTGCCCTGTTTCCAACATCATTCCCAAGTGGAACGAGCTTGTGTTCCAGAATCAATGGCAGGATGCGCTGAACAGGCTTCTGATGACGAACAACTTCCCGGAGTTCACCGGCCGAGTCTGTCCTGCACCTTGCGAGGGTGCTTGCGTCCTTGGGATCACCGAGGATCCGGTGGGTATCAAGTCCATCGAATGCGCAATCATTGATAGAGGTTTTGAGATGGGCTGGATGGTGCCAACACCTCCAAAAAGTAGAACGGGAAAGAAGGTTGCTATTGTCGGTTCTGGACCAGCTGGTCTTGCCGCAGCAGATCAGCTCAACCGTGCTGGCCACCATGTCACTGTGTATGAACGGGCGGATCGTATTGGCGGCTTGCTCATGTATGGTATTCCAAACATGAAGCTTGACAAACGTATTGTGCAGCGCCGGGTGGATTTCATGGCCGCTGAAGGTGTGAAGTTCGTTACCGGCTGCTTGGTCGGTCCGGACAGCGAGGTTTCCCTTCAGTCGCTCCGGGATAGCAACGATGCTGTCGTCATCGCAACTGGTGCCACTGTTGCTCGTGATCTCAAGATTCCAAATCGGGAGTTGGACGGCATTCACTTTGCCATGCAATTTTTGCACAAAAACACCAAGTCACTGCTGGATTCTGAACTGGCTGATGGAAGCTACATCTCCGCCAAAGACAAACACGTCGTTGTTATTGGAGGTGGCGATACCGGCAACGACTGCATTGGCACCTCGGTCCGCCATGGAGCCAAGTCAGTTACCAATTTCGAGCTGTTGCCTCAGCCTCCTCCGGAGCGTGCTCGTGATAATCCATGGCCTCAGTGGCCTCGCATCTACCGTGTTGACTATGGTCACACTGAGGTCAAAACACATATGGGCAAGGACCCTCGTGAGTATTGTGTCATGTCTGAAGACTTTGTCGGCGATGATGAAGGTCATGTACGAGGGATCAATGTTCATCGAGTGGAGTGGACCAAGTCAGCGACTGGTGGCTGGGACATGAAACCAGTTGAGGGTAGTGAACAGTTCTTCCCTGCTGACCTCGTGCTGTTATCGATGGGTTTCCTGGGTCCGGAGGACAGATTGCTGGGAGGCGATATCGAGAAGGACAAGCGGAGCAACATCAAGACACCGCCTGGACAATTTGACACCAATGTCCCGGGTGTTTTCGCTGCTGGTGACTGTCGACGTGGTCAATCGTTGATTGTTTGGTAAGTTTGTGCGTTTGCATTTGTTCTTTGATAGTACTAATTGCTCCCAGGGGTATCAATGAAGGCCGACAAGCAGCTCGACAAGTCGATACTTACCTCATGGGCGTTGGCTCTCAGCTTCCGGTCACTGGCGGTATCATTCGCCGTGCTCAAATTGACTCTGTCCCTCGACCCCAAGATGTCTCCCGGCCTGAGGTCTCTGCAGCAGCATGAAACAACACCCAGCTCATCGTCATCCTCTGGCGTCAAGGCCACCTGATCAGAGGAATTCCATCGCATATACAGAGAAGGGTTTACCGTCAGTCAACTTACATGAGTTAAAGTTAGGTGGTCATCGTTTGAATAAGGATGCGGGAAGATACATTGCATGAGATTTCTCTCTTTCTCTCTTTCTCTCTTTCTTTCAAGCGCGGCTACCAGTCTCAGCTGATACCCCCTCGCTTTTTGTTGCTGTTACTGGTGATTTTTTTAGGGTGGTGCGTATTGTTACAGCTTTGTTAGCGCCGTCGCATCGCAGTTTGCTTCATGTATATTATGAATGGAGCTTGGTCTAGATGGATCAACACTATGTTCAAGGCGTTCTCTTGGTTTCTCCAAGAGAAACGTGTGAGTTGACCATAAGGTCCTCAAAGCACTACTGCAGCATGTCCAATGGTGTGCCTTACCGTTTGTTTGCTTCCTACCACTCGATGCCCCTTGCTTGACTACAATGACCCCGGTTCCCAATCAACCTCTTTCCTTTCCAATGCTCCCACACCACAGACATTGTCCCAGCAAAGCGCAATCTTCTCTGCCGGAAGCCTCAGAGATAGGCTGTCGTGCCTTCTGTTAGGCTGATGAGTAACAGCGCCTTCATATTCGATGGCTCGATGGTATGCACTGCCTAAAAGAGGGACAATCAGAGAGCCGTACGAGTATTCCATCCAGTTGTGTGAAATGAATACTACATTAAATGTTAAATGCTCATCACGCAATCCTTCTATGGGATGACGTCAGTTTTCTGTGCCAAGCACAAAGTGTCTTTGCAATTCTTTTGTTGTCCACCACATGGCACCACTCAAGGTCCTCACATGCACTCTCTCTGCACTCGCTTTTTATTTCAATGGAAGCGAAAGAAGCTCCTTCAAGGTCCTCAAACCATGTGTTCGGCCTGTCTGCCGATCGGAATGTATCCATTGTCTCATTGTGGTTCGCGTCTACTGCTTTCCGCCAGCTTCAATCATGCACATGTCCTTCACTGTTCCTTATCTCTTTTGTGCCCAACATTCACTGGTGTACAAGCTGTTCTAGACTTATTTCCTACTTTCAACCTCGCCCAGCTTTCTCTACACATCCAGCCGCGGTCCGGATGACCCTTCATATTAGAATTGAGCTTAGCTACAACCCCCCCCCCCTTCAATCCATCGCATTCACCCGACCGCAGCCGCGTAGCTCCACATCTTCTGGACGTCTATGTCAAATACAAACAATTCACACGAGCTGTCATTAGCTGGCTCATTACCCATAGCGCGCAAAATCAGAGATGCCTTCAAACGGTCTCCATCAGGGATTTATTGGACCTCGCGGAGGCTGTACAAAGGAAGAGAGTAGTGATGCCTGACATAATTGATTTTCAGTTCCGTGAAGCCATAGCTGCTCGTACGCAGCTGAGCAAGTTCTTTCGCTCTGAAAGTCCTCCAGGGCTGGAAGATCGGGAGACCATCAATCACGAGTATTTCACAAAGAGGTAAGAGAGACATGCTGCTCGTTCATTCTTGCTAACAACTGCTTTACCTGAACGCAGCTTGACCAAGATATACGTGGGACTTTGTGAATGCTGTGCCAGACCCAGGAAAGATTGTGAGCGACCAAATCTAGGCCGTTCACACAAAGACAATCAGCCTGCATTACCGAATCGATTTGCGCTACTTGGTCTCCACGACTCTGATGACGGTTTTGATCCTACCTTCACGCAAGCAGGTCGTCAGTGCAATGAATGTGCGAGGGATATCCAAGCAGCCGTGACGGAATCATCTACTACCCCTCGACTCGTTGACGATCACCTGGGTGATGCTTTCGATCTTTGCGAGAAAATCCAGGTACATTTGCAGGTGTATCGTTTTATATTTACCCTGGCTGATGGTAGATGAAATAGAAAATATGTGACCTACAACGGGTAGCTCTGGCTGTTTGGGAGCAAGCCGCACAAGGTACCACGCCGGTGACCTTGGCGGCATTCATCACACATGCTGCCTTCGCGGCCTTTGAGGACATTGAGCAAAGATTGAAGATCTTATGCAACATTTCGAGTCCAGATGTTCTGCGGAGCAAATTCGTACAGATAAATCATGATTTGGAGACTTCGCAGGATGTCGGGAACGAGATGGATTCGTCCAAGACGCGACAGGTTGAAGCCCTCAAAGAAGCCTGGGATCTGCTTTCCGAATGCAAGCAGGACCATCAGGACCGAGATTCTGACGAGAAATTTTGTACCGTACCAAGGCCCTCGCAAATCGTTCTCCGCAGAGGTTCAGATTCAGCGCCAATGGACCATGAGTGCCTTTCCATGCTCCTGCATAACATTGAACGGCATGTTAAGACCAGATGCCGGCCGACCTGCATAGTTCGCCTGGGCACACCAGTCTATGCAGATGTAGGCTACTTTCTTACGCACAAGGAAGATAGCTCGAACAGTCTTCGTTGCTCTTTCGGGCTTCATCTGCTTCTCGAAACCTACAAAAGCTACCTCTTAGCATCGCCACGTGGCTGTACACCCTCCTGTTGCCGGCTGCAGGCTCTCAGGTTTGCACAAGAAGCAGTCCCATACATGGGTGCCGTGCTGGAGGACTCGAGCATGCCTTGCAGATGTTGTCATACTTTAGCTTTTCATTTGCAGAACTTACACCTCGATTTCAAAGCATTCCTTGGAGAAAAGGTATTCGATCTATACTTTCAGTCACCTTGGGTGTCCGGATCCCACATCCTCGAGATGCTCGAACTGCTTTTCTTCTACGGCCTACGCCTGTTCAGCTATAGACATTATGTCGGCTCTGTCGTGCACGTCTACAATGTCCTTCGAGAATGCACCGGTTTGGTATCCATTCCTTTGCTAGAGAAGCTCTGCGATACGTTCAGCGATATCCTGTTCCCAGGTGGACGTCCGAGACGCAGCTTCAAGGCTTGCTGCTTCCGATACATGGGCGGCAGACTCCGTTTCGATCCGCATGCTTCGCACCACAGGTCTGGCTCTCATAAAGTCTGCATTCCACCTCGCGCTGCCAAGGCAACGGCGGGATTCCCGTTGCAGAAAGAGGCCAACGACGCAAGATTTGAGTACCGAAAGATCTCGTTACTTCATTATATCAAGGAGAGGGGATACCATCTCGACCACAGCCTCTGGGACCGAGTCTACGCTATCACAAATACAAAGAAAGATGCACCATCCTCCGGGAAGGGCACGAAACGCCATCACCATCAATGCTCACATTCAGAAGAGCATGCCCATCCCAAACACGACTCCTCCCAACCGCACCGCCTCGACAGTCTTCACGACGCCCTCCTCCCCGAGTTTACCGGCCCCTTCCCCATCGCCAAAGTCAATTTCTTCGCCGTCTACCTCTCGTGCATCCGCATCGTGTCCCTCATCAGCGACCGAACCCATCAGGCAGGCGAACCAAAAGCCCCGACGGGCCAGAACTGTCTCTGCTTCCTCGATGCCATGCTCGACGCTGCGGATCGGTATAAGGAGAATGAGCACAAAATGCAGCTGTTTGGATGTAGGGAGTTGGTCAAGATTTGTGGGGAGAGTATGCTTGAGGTGCTCGGAGGGAAGGATGTTGAGGAGTTCTTGTGGAAGGGTCTTTGAGTCGGGATGGGGATGGGGATGGGGATGGGATGGGGTGGAGTGGAGTGAGAGGTGCAGCGAATGGCGGCAATGATGGCGAGACGACCATCATCACAAGAACTACCGTGGTACGTAGGCAGGAGTTGGGAGTTCGGAAATGTATGATCTTAAGTTCGGGAGATGGGCGGTTATGTAGCAGCTTCACGAGCCAGCTTGCGAAAATGCTCGACACACAGTCCCGAAGGGAACATAGATATCAGTACAACGTTCAGCTACTTCCTGACTCACAATCGCCATTCCCTCCCACCAAGTCTGCTAGCTAGGATTCAGAGACAAGACCCGTTCATCATTCATCGAACAACAACTGTTCCAATATCCCTGTTCTCCGGCGCGGGAAGAAAAGGCCATGACAACTACTTCATCTCTCTCTAGTCTCTCGATCGAGTGAGAGGGTGAGAGGGCAAAGCATACAGATATAGATACAGATACACCATTGGTGGGTAAGGGGCTCTACTTCAAACAGAACTGAGTTTGAAGGAAGTTATCCTGGTCATTCCCTCACCGCTGCCGATGGTTTAGTCCGGATGAAGGGGGCAACAGGATTGCGAGGAGAGGTGTTGTGGCCACCTCGATAGAAATCATCAGGTGTGCTTTGGGCCAAGAGGTGAAAAATCCTGAAATGGTTGTCAGAGTGTTTGAGTGGGCCGTCATGTTTGATGATGGTGTGCTATTTATTTGATGCAGGGACTAAGTTTCTATGGCAGTCACGGCTGGCAGCGCTGTGCGAGGAGGTTTTTTCCGGAGCAAGTCGGGGCATCGAGTGAAGCGTCTGTAGAGCGATTGCAAGGCAGGGCTGACTCTAGGACAGCGGCAGGTATTGCGGCGGCACGATCTTCGCTTTGTCCATTCCTTGATGGCCGCCTCGATATCCGGTCGGGAACCAGTCGTCTTCGATCTTGCCCGCCGCGGCACCGGCGGCGTTGGGGAACAAAGCAAGCACGTGCTTGCACTTCCTGAAGTGGCGCGCCAGGTTCGAGCCACGGGGGAACAATCTGATCTTTCCGTTGCGATTGCAGAATTCGCATTGGAAGCGTTCGTCTTTATGCGTATCGTCTTTGTGTCTTTTCAGGTTCCGCGCACTGGTGCATTGATGGGAACAGATGTCGCAGGAGAACATCTTCCTCTTCTGGTGGATGTTGGCGATGTGCTCGTCGCGGACGTTGGCGGCTGCGAAACCTTCGGAGCAGGTCGCACATTTATACGGCCGGTATCCGCTGTGGCCCCAGGTGTGTCGTTCGACGCTGTTGGCGTACTTGTGTGGCGTGGAACCAAGGGCGCCCACACGACATCCACGCCACAGGCAAAAGACCTCGCGGTTGACGTTATGAGCGGTTTTGAGATGTTCATGTAAGTCACTGCCGAGTTCAAAGACCTTACCACAAGATTGACCACCTGGGTCGGTCCATTGACAGGGTGCGGAAGGACGGAAAGGTCTATTAGAAGCTTGGTTTGGAATCAGGGTGGAATTCTGCGGCAGAGCACTATTTTTGGGTGCTGTCACCATGGTCTTAGCCTGAAATGAGTGTACAGAATTGCGGACAGAAATATTGTCATGTTTGGAAGAGATGTTGGAAACGCCAGCTTCGATCTGCTCGTTGTTCAATGACGCACTGGATGAAGAGACAAGAGCGGATGCTGCGCCATCTGCGGCACCTCCAGTGTTCACTGCGGATGATGGTGTCCACCCATCAGTGAATGCCGGTGCAGGGGCAGGGACTGACATGTTGTCAAGGAAGGTGGACTGAGCGGGGTCAAGAGCTCGGTATTGCCTTTGAACTTGCATTGCGACGCGAGGGTGTTCTGGTTCGCCATATGAACTAATGGAATTCTCGAAAGCACCCACACTAGCAGGAGTTGAGGCAGTAGGATTACCACAACACAGGCCTAAATCATCAAAGGTGGTGGGTAGGGTATTCACAGGGAGTTGAGGTATAGAGCCATCGAGGTCAAACATCTGCGTTGCCTGATCGCCAAAGAGCTCGAAATAAGAGTTATCGAAGGGATAGTCATCATGAAGACTGCTCTCCGGTCTATCGCCACACAGCGAGATCCTACAGTCGGAGACGCAATCGGATACGCAGTGTGGAACACACTCCTCACAGCTCTCTTCATGGTTGGAGCACTCGTCGCAGACACTTTCAGGGCACTCCTTGCAGGTAACCTCGGAGCAGTCCGGGTCTATACACACGGGAGGCGGCAGAATCTTTCTCTTTTTGGATGGAGACGGGTAGGTTCTGGACGCTGTGTCTTCATTGGTACACAAAGTACAAGCCGACGCTGATTTGGGAGTGGAAGGATCATTGGGTCCTGATTCCCAACGAGAGGCCTCAATGAATTCGCAAAAGCCACAGCTGGCCTGCGAGGAACAGCTGCTGGACTTCCTCAGCCTTTGCCCGTTCGTACAGTTGGTTTTCTCATTTGCATCTCTGACGTTGTGACGTAGAAGGTTAGAGAACGTCATCTCGTCTCCAGAGATTTGGCCGTGTGTAGTGCTGGGACACTTGAAGTGACGAAGCTTTGAGGGACGGTAGTCTTGGCTGTAGTGTGTTGAGGCATTCGCAAAACATCGGCGAGGTTTGAAGGAAGATGGATGCCACGAGAGCTGCACGTTATCCTGACAAGCGAAAGGTCTGGCCGAGTTGCATGAAGCTTGTCCCGTTGCGGCCAGCCGGACTTTTCTGAATTTAACGCAACGAGTGATAGGTCTCCGGGCGAAAAGAGTTGTGTAACCTGTGACCCGTTGGACTGCCGTAGAGGCCCCTAAGTGTTGGTAACGAGATGGCCAAGCAGAGCACTCTACAGATATATGGCGAGTGGTGCCGGTCCTGCTGCGGTTTCCGATAGTCTCTGAAGTCTGTGTGGAAGATTCGGCTTCAAGGCCTCAATGAAGAGATGTTTAGATATCAATGTTGGGGCTATTCTGCTCGACAGGCGCACTCCTGGCATTCATGCTCCGACTGGAGGATCGAATTCTGGTTGTTGAAGGCTTGGGATGGAAAGAGGCAAAGAAGCCTTGTCGTTTCGAGAAAAGAGGGTTGCATGCAGTAATCGGTGCTGCTGCCGGCGAGGCTCATGTTGACAAGCTACGCGACAATAAGAAATGAGGACCTTGAAGCACACCAATCACAGGCTGCAGACATCACACCGAGGGACAGTCTAGAGCGGCTTGGCAATGACGCTGGCCTGGCACCAACACAGCGGTGTTGCTCCCTAATAGAGAGCAGATCAGAGGCTGTTCGGAGTGCAAGAGCAAAAGGAGAAGGAAAAAGAATTGGATTGACTTGGATTGACTTGGACTGACAATGCGAACACGTCTACCAGAAGTACCACGTGGAGAAGGAGCTCTGAAGATGACTCATTATTGGTCCTTAGCAAATAGCAGATGGTCTGTCATTACAAGGATTGTTCATTACAAGGATTGTCCAAGGGCGATCAGATGACCAAATCTGACTTTCATGTGGCCATAATACTTACGGAGTACTGTGATATCAAAAAAAGACGTACAAAATGACACCATTCCATTGGATTTTCGATGTCTTAGTTGCACATTTCTATACTACAAACTAGATGATTTTATGATTAGGCTTGAACCAAGCACCAGTTGATGGTAGTTTAGACATAATTAACTCTCAGGGGGTCTCTTCCAAGCAGCAGTGAGAGCCACATGATGCCTAGCTGAGATCTGCTGTAGTGCAGCGCAGTGCAGTGCTTACCTGGAGCTGAGCTTGGAAAATAAGGCTATGTTAGTCCTTAGCAGATTAACAGATCGTTACTCCGTAGTCATTCAAGGATGGTCAAATGACTTTCGGATAACCATCGGATAACCATAATTTGATCGGCATATGGCAATGATTTCGAAAAAAACACGTCTGAAATGACGAAATTCAATCAGATTTAGAATGTCTTAGCCCCATAATTTTACACAAGCTACATCATAGTACGGTCAGGCTTAAACTACGTAGTAACCACACATTGACGGTAGTTTAGGTATACAACGTAACTATCTAAGGGCCTTCTCCCGCTTGGAATAGGGCAGTGGCAGAGCACAGTGCCAAGCCCGTTGTCACGTGACTTCGCACGCCCTACTATATTAGCCTGCTCCTCCTCCTTAAATAGGTCAGAATGTGTTCGGAACAGTATATTCAGCATTTGGGTCTTGGCGTGACTCCGCAGTAGTAACTCGTATGTAGCATTCCTGAGTTTATCTAACAGTCTGATCATCCCACTCTTGCTGTAATCTTGAGCTTGTTGTTACTTCCCAAATAAGTACTAAGATAGATATCCTTGGTGTTGTTATTCTTGCTATAGCTATGTCGCTATCGACTGCTCATCCTGATTGCCCAGAGCACCTCAAACCTTAGCTCGAGAGGCGTGCGCGCTCCCTCCCCTCCTCCTTCTTGCTCCCCCTATCATCGGTAAGGTCTTCGTCAATCCAGACGTGTGTAAAGAGCGTCTCTAAGGCTGGGCCTTATCACAGGGTCTTGTTATCATCCAGAAAAGCGCTAAAATAGGGTGTAGGGGAGGGCAGAGGCAGAGGCCGAGGCAGGGGCAGAGAGGCCAGAGGATAGAGCGATTTCTGTAACACCATATTTCTATATCTATTTCCTAATAGGGTAGTCACAACAACGTCGACAAAATGTATCAATTTCTGTGTAGAATCTTCATATTACTTATAGTCAAGGTGGGTGGATTTGCTAGCAATTTGTATGACAAATTACCCGCCAAGACCCAAACGCCGAATATACCGTTCCGAACGCATTCTGTAGATAGATTCTGCACACACAGTACTAGGGTAAGGAGAATAATTGTTCGTAGCAGGGCGCTAGTAGCAGCTAACTAGTTCAGATACAGCGCCGCATCAACGTCTAGAAGCTTCTTTAACGATTATCCATTCGATTGGTCCCACCAATACCATCTAATTGCTCAAAGTTTAAGTGTTATGTTTGGAACCTGTTTTGCTGCAAATATACGGAGTACTAGCGCTGTGCTACGAATACTTCAGCCAGGTACCGTAAGTAGATAAAATTCAGATCATCCACCTCATGACTCCTGTATTGGTAAACTTGGCCTAGTAACAACGCAGTGTGACAACGCCTTAGGGCCGAGTAATGGATGCATTTGATTGGTTGCAAGTCCCACTAGAATCTTCTATCTCATCACCTACCCAACTAGGTAAAGCTCTTCAGGTCACTAGTAGTATCATGCTTCAAATTGATTAAACTTTTCGGCACTGTTACGTAGCACACACAGGCCGAATAGTCTGCCGGGGCTATTGTAGCCAGCATTATCGAATAAAGCTCCTTCCGACTCCAAACATGACACCCTCCGTGAGCTCCTAATAGGACAAAGGTGGATAGTGAGGCAGTACTGCTCAAGTGACTGCAGATTGGTAAGCTCCCAGGTCGTGGGCATGGATACGACGTGCATAATACCGCATACAAGCGTAAAGGTAAGTGCTTTTGCTGTTTCCCGCTTTCATCTCTGCCCTGAAATCTCTGCCCTCTCAATTGTCTATCGTGGAAAGATGCGGTGGCCGACTTTGTTGCTGCCAACTCTCGTGGCAGCATCACTACCTATCCAACTTGAGATAAAGCGTGCACTTAATTCCGGACTTGCAAACATTCATGTGACTTACACCGCGCTTATCCCCTCAGAAACCATTTTCACTTATGGCTCATGCGAAGCGCAAACGCCGGGCGAGGCACACCACTTGATTGCGCGAACAACCGATCGCCGACATGATCGCCTGGTCTGGTTGATCCCAGCAGACGCTGCGTCAGGAGGATGTCTCTCGGCTTGGGACCAGCACCAGAACTTACTGGGTCGGAGCAAGAGCTTGTCTCTTGTACCATCGCCGAGGACGACTCGCAGCCGTTTGAAGAAGCGACAGGAGGAGATGGGTATCAGAATGGACAACTCCAGCGGCATTGATGCTGAAGCCCGCGGTCTCCAACCCACTCGCAACTCTCCACTTTTGAGCTATCGTTGGCGCGGGCATGGCTGGCTTGATGACTTGGTTGGCTCTCAATGAGTCTGGCATGACAAATGTTACTATCATTGAAGCTGCGCAGCGGCTGGGTGGTCGAGTTCACACAGCGTACTTTGGCGACCCAAGTGAGAGGCAATATCAAGGTATGTGGACTACCACTTTTGCAAGTTCTCATTTAATCAACCGGCCTTAGAGATGGGTCCCCTGCGATTTCCATTCTCTATCCAGTATAGCGCCACCAACGAGACGCTGCAAATCCAAGACCACAAACTCGTTTTCGACCTCGACGACGAAATCAATCGTCGCAACGGCAACAATCCAAACTTCACCGTCTCCTTCATCCCCTGGCTCCAACGCAGTCCCAATGGGCTGTACGCCGTTGGCGGGATCCGCCTGCCCAATGGCAAAATCCCCACCCAAGCCGACATCTTAGCGAACTCGTCTCTGGTGCCGGAGTTGGTGACTGACCCCGTAACCACAGCTGCGGAGGGCGCTATCAGCGCCATCTACCGCAACCAGACCTTCCTTAGGGAAGTGGCAACGAACATGTTTAGGGCACATAAGTCCTGGCTTGACACCGGCCTGAACGGCCTCGGCGGCGACGACTGGTCTGAGTTCGCGTACTTGCACAACTACTTGGGCTACGCGCTTAACACGACGCTTGTGGCTTTGAGTGGTGCAGGCGGAAATAGTTTCTGGGATTTTGTGTTTGGGTCGGTCTACTTCGCAGCGACGACATGGCAGACTATCGACGGCGGTCTATCGAGACTTCCGTTTGCGTTTCATCCATTGGTTGATGATATCACGCACATGGATCGAAAGGTGCAACGGGTGAGCTATAACCAGTCGACAAAGCGGGTGACACTGCAATGGAAAACAAAGCCGCTTGATCGCACTTTTCAGAATGCCAGCTACGACTATGCTGTTGTCACGGCGCCGATGGCATTGGTGAGAACTTGGCGGTTGCCTGCTTTTAGTCCCTTGCTTTCCACCGCCATCGACACGTACGGGTATGACCAAGTGTGCAAGGTTGCGTTGCAGTTCCAGACGAGATTCTGGGAGCAGTTGGAACGGCCAATCTACGGAAGCTGTAGCACCATCACGGACATACCAGGAATCGGCAGTATCTGCTATCCCTCGTACGATATCAACAGCACCGGACCGGGTGTGATGCTGGCCAGCTACACCGGCAGTGACGATGGGTTACGCTGGGCCAGTATCCCGGAGGAGGAGCACGTTCAGTACGTCGTCGATGCGATGGCGGAAATTCATGGCGACGTGGTGTATGAACAATACACCGGACGATACAATCGCCGTTGCTGGCTTCTGGATGAATACGAGACGGTCAGCTGGGCGCGTGCAGAGATTGGGATGAGGAAGGCGTTCATGCCGGCCTTCTTTCAGGTCGAACAAGGCATTATCATGTCGGGTGAGGGGACCAGTTATACGAGTGCCTGGATCTCCAGCGCCTTGGAGAGTGGGATCAGGGCATCGGTACAGTTGTTATTAGAGCTGGGATTGATTGATGAGGCAAAGGCTGTGACTGAAAAGTGGATGGCTAGATGGATATCTATATAGAATTGTGGTGATATCAGGTGATAAAGAAAAAGAATCTTGGTTAAATAGATTTGTATACATTAAGTTCAGGTCTTAGACCAATAACTAACATTTCTATGTTTCTAGTCCGCTCTTCCCACCACTAAAATCTATGTTTACTTGCATATTACGGTACTGGTATGGGTACCTGACTCTCTCCTACCATCAAAATGGTACATCCACGGGTGTCTATCTATACGGTTTGTACCAATGGAATGGTACTCCGTACTAACTAGTATTTACTACAACCGTTCTCGAGGAGTAGATTTAAATTTACTTGGCATCTATCATGCGAACTTCAACCAGAATGCACAAAAATGATATATCATATCGCTGAACAGAGCGATATGAAGTACTAGGAACAAGTATACCTTCATGTATAGATACAATTATGTTGGTTACTCCTTGTATCGCACGAAATCTGTGTAGTCCCCCAAATGACCAAGTGACTACCAGTTCTTTGGTGTGGATTGTGTTCGCCTGGCATCTACCACCATGAAACCTCATTCTGACCTGATATCTTGTGACCCTGCAGCTGTTGAAGAGCCTGACCTCAAATAGCACCATTTCTACACCGCCAGAGGTTTCTCAACTCAGAGGTCAGGTTGCAGCGCACACAGCGCTTTCTATGCCAGCGTTCGAGATCACTTCACAGACAACTGTCCTGAATCTATTCTGGAGGCATCCTTTCTTGTGACCAAATTCCAAGAACCTCTTGAGCACTCCTTCACGAGCCTCCTACAAGATGTTCCTCCCAGCCTCATCTAGTCTCCCACTCCTTCCTCCGCCCTTCACCTCAATCCTCTCAACCCACTACCCGTCGAGCCCAGCCAATACCCATGATCAATACTCGAACAATCAGCCTTCTCAACGCCGCTCGAACCTACATCAATCCAATCCTTCCTCCCTACGCAATCCAAACTCCCTTCACAGCCTCCTCGTCGATGAATCCGTCATCGCGTCCCGCAAAGCCGCAATATCAACATATGGCTATTCATGGCTGCGGCCCGCCGGCGTTGCTAAGACAATGCTCGGGCGCAGAGAGGAGGAGGCTGAGCGAGAAGAGCTAGAGAGACAGATGCGAGAACAGGAGGAGATGGAGGCTGAGATTGAGAGAGGCGAGCAGTTGGCGCGACAGGGAAGATTGAGAGGAGAGCAGCTGCTGGAGGGGGAGGGTGAGGGTGAGGGTGAGGGTGCAGGTGCAGAAGGCGTGGGGCAGAGAAATTTGGATGATGATATCCCAGACGCTGATGAGGGACTCCCAACCCAACAGGAGAATGGGGGCGAGGCACAGGAAGACGCTGGAGATGTAGATCTCGACGATGAGATCCCAGATGCCGATGCCGATGACGCTGATAACTCCTTGCTCGAAGACGACAGCAATGTCGAAGGCGAAACAGGCATCACAGACGAAGTCGAGCTTACTAACATACGAGAGACAGACACTTTACCACGACTCGCCCCAACCACCACAAGACCCGCCCCTGGCACCCAGAACCGCGGCGCATTACCCAGTCCAACCGTCACCCAACAGACAACTCCGCAGGCCAGGCAAGCAATTCACCAAGCCTACCTCCGCCGCCGAGAACTAGAGCAGCAACAAGCCGAGCAAGAAGCCCTAGCCCACGCCATGCTGGACGAGGACGAACAAGCCCTCGCCGAGCGAGATCTCGATGCCGAAATCCCCGACGAAGATCTCGACGAAAACGAAATCGGAATACAGGCCCCCGATCTCGATGACGATATCCCCGAAGCGGATGACGATGGGATCGGCGAGGGCGAATGGCAGCACACCGACACGGAGCTGGAGGAAGATGAGAGCGCCGTTGCCATGTTGATGGAAGACGACGAGGGTGGAGACGTGAGCATGGAGATGAGTGTCATCGACGGAGGAGGAGGAGGAGGAGGGCGGAGATCTGTTGCCGGGAACGTGCTGGCTACACCTGCCAGCTTGGAGGGTTCTTCGATGCTACACACTCCTCCTACGACGGGAGATGTGGGCAGCGGTGCGAGGGGCTGGTTGAACCGGACATCGATTCCTGGGAGGGGAGGAGCTGGCAATCTATTCGCGCGCATCACTGGCAGCGGAAGGGGTGGTGGGAGTGGGAGTGGGAGTCCTCAGGCGCCTGCAACGCGCCTCCAGCCTCAGACGGAAGGCACCTCTGTACAAGAGCAGGGCCAGGGACAAGGTCAGGGACAAGGTCTGCAGCAGGTGAGAAGGAGAAGTGGCCGGCATGGCCTACGGCGCGAGAATAGAAGCGTGAGGGATAGTTTGGACTGAAGACGTGGCGTTGCGTTGCATTGCATTGCTGAATCCCTGATACGACAACACAAGAACGGACAAGATACATAGCTCAGAGAGTGGAGGGATGGAGGTGGTAGAATCGACCGAGAACATTGCTGCATCATCAATTCACATTCAAGTGCAGCAGAAAAAAGATAAGAGAATCGATCTTGACCACGATGGCACGAAATCGAAATGGAGGAGAGAAAGTGAGACACGGTATATGATAGTATGATAGTGTGATAATGATTCCCCACCATCCAAGCAAGCGGACGACTGAGCGAGCCATTCAGAACCACCACTTATAGCCAAACTCCCATAGATTACCGGTACCTTGCTCTGGTGCTGTTTTCGCTCTCCATCTGGGAATCAGTGAGGGCCCAGCCGCCGTACGCAGAGAGGACGTAATACTAGTGTCATCATTTCGAAAACCCCCTGGCCTGCCGGTTATGTACCAATGGTTTTTCTCTCAGAGGAAGTTTGAACAGAGACTCGGAGGCAGCGAACCTCTTTTTCGAGATAGCTACAACACCGCACCGCACCGCACCGCACCGCGCTGGGGGGTTTTCGCAGAGATCCTTCTTCGTATCCGTTGACTTCCATGCTACCCATCATTGGAGTTTATTCACCGAAATTCGAACTTCGAGTGCTGCGATTTTCGGTGACGTCTGTCTTGGTATGGGCGGGATAGATGGAATTCGCGGAAATAGTATCTGCGCCTTGCTCGCTTGCTTGCTTGGTTGGGAAAAATTGAAGGCCATGTTGCCAGAGGTCAATCGGCCCGGAGCAGATACAAATAGGGGGTGAGGTAAAGTCGTATGATGGCTTCAATGCTGGGTATCTGGCAAGGTCAACTGCATTGATTCGACCGTTCTGGTGGAGGTGGTGGCAATAGAAGACTGGACGTCCTCGGGATTCTCTTATCTCAGAGCAAAGAGGCTTTGAACGACCCTGAAGTGAGGTCGTTTGTCTCCGTCTTTTTCGTCACTAGCCGAGTATTTTGAGATTGGTGGCGTGTGTAAGACGTACTTGTGCTGATGGATCTGTGAGGTAATTCTCTCCCTTGAGCGGATGCGCTGGTAGAAAATGCTCAATCGTGCACAGCGAATGGAGGGACGATTTGCCAGGCTGAGAAAGAGGCGATGCAGCAAGGTCGTGGACCAAGATAATGATGATGCACCTTACTAGGTAGGCGCTGGGGAAGTGTTCTCGAATGCAATGGTGGTGAGCTTCTGGATATCTTGGTCTGGGCGGAGAACAACAATTTAAGACCCTCCAGAGTCATGGATGTGTGCTCTGGCATCTTCGAACTCTTGCTTTTGGTCCCGTACAACTGTAGCTTTGATGCTCTACCTGCCTCAGTGCTTGAAATGCCGCTTGTCAATTGCGATTCGACGCTTCTGGTGAGCCATACGTGCTATGCCTCTGAGCTGCCCCTCCTCGCCCTCCGGTAGCTTGCGTATCCAGAGGTCCCTCCACCCTCAGTCGCGCCCACAAGGCTGCCTTGTATTTCCTCTCCACAAGTCCTCAAGCTCTTATGGTGATCGAATCCACGACCATTTCATCACCAGGACCTCATCACGGTCACAACCTATCCCATCCACCAACAAGAAAGCCATGATTCTTTTCTCAAAACAGCCACACCCAAGCAAAGAGACACCACACCGCAACGAAGAAACCGAGCCAAACCTTCCATCCCACACCCGTCCGTTCGGCCATCCTTAACATTCTCCGCATGGTCCCTCTCAGTTTCACCCTTGTATTATCAAAGCTATCGTTCATCTGATCCGCAAGTGCGGAGGAGTCACGAATCTCATCACCGATCGCGATGGTGAGTTGTTTGAGCTGGCTGACCTTGGAGGAAAGGACGCTGGTATTTTCATTTTCATTCTGCGATTCGAGCGATTCGAGCACCGAGTGTGAATATTGGCCCCTACCAAGAAAGAAGAATATAAAAAATATCAGCAAGTTGTTGTTGCTGAAGCCTTTGAAAGTGCCCTTCGAAGAGACCTTTATCGCGCTCGTGAAAACTTCTAAGCTTTTGACAGTACCTACTTCGAGTTCGGCGTTGCCGGCCTGAAACCACCACTGCCGCTTTGTGCTCCGCCGTTCATATACGGGCCTCCTGCTCCGTTAGCTCCATACCCATAGCCCGATTTTGCCGGGGAATGGGAGCCTCCCGGTCGTGATCTTGCATCGGCGGGCCCCGGATAGTTGTCGAAAAGAGAAGAGGAGGAGCGTGGGTGGATGCTAGAATATGGGTTTCTGAGTGCTGGCGTCAGTATATCTACCTGATAGGAGACAAAATTATTATGACATACCTTGAAGCCATATTGGTATGGACGTGCTGCGGGAACAGAGAAGAATCTGGAGAAGGTGTCTTCTTTTGTGAATTGGCAGAGCGAACTGCAACGTCATTGGTACACCTGAGTTGCCATATTTGGCCGCTGCGGTCACCGTAACTTTCTCAAGAGCACCCTCATTGGGCCACGTAATGAGTCCACAGCAGTGACATATCCATCCTTGCTGTGAATGTGAAAGCAAAAGCACACATTGAGATTGTAATACTATACTACTAGTGTTACATGACAATCTATGTACCTGAACAGCACAATGGTCAAAAGTACCGCCTGACTCCAGCGAAAGCCCTCAAGTGTATCGGATATCAACAAACGCTGGGGTACCTTACATTTGCACAAATCGCTTCAGAGGTTACTCGTTCTTTTGGTCCCTCAATCCATTTCTATTACAAATCATGTCTCGCCATCTTACTCTTGGCCCGAATCCTCTCTCCATAGTAGTACAGCACAAAGGGAATAGGGATGAAGACAATGGACAAAAATCCCAAAAGACTGCTCGCCCAACCCAGACCAAGACGTCTAAACATGGCATTCGCAAACAATGGGAAGCAGGCTCCGAACGCTGATCTAACGAGGTCATTTCCTGCGTAAACAGAGGCGACATATTTCGGATAGGCATCGCCCAGATATGATAGGACGGAGATGAAGAGGCAAAATGCGCCGATGGAGAAGAACGAACTCCCAATGATAGGCATGATCCAATGAACTGAAGTACGAGCGGACCAGCCAAACCAGAAGAGACAAATTGGTATAAAAAAGGCGCCGACGAGGGCAGGAGTAAGTCGATGCTCAGGTTTGATATCGCCGTTTTCATTGAAAAGAGGCTCCTGGTATTTGTGAAGGTACCAGAAGAACGGAGGAAGTGTGACCAATGCGCCAACCAAGATTCCGAGAAAGGCGAGACCTAATGTCCCGAGCGAAAAGTGGTATATGCCGATGAACACGATAGGGAAGGACTCGAACCAGAGATAGAGGAGAGCATAGATAAGGGCTATGTAGAGGTTCAGGACGAAGACGATAGGTTCTGTGAAGCTGAGGGTGAAAGGCCGAATGAGGATCATTTGGACGATTTCGTTGCTGCTCATACCTTCGGCTTCGATTTCAGCTTCGCATTTGAGATTTGGGTTGCCTGTCAATTTGCGGTAACGCATCGTACGGCGGTAGAGGATGTTACTGGAGCTTGTCTCGGGTAGAAAGAAGATGAGGAAGATAAGGCAGGCACCTGAGAGCCACATCAACTCCCAAATTGTCCACTGCCAGCCTTTACTTTCGGCAGCGAAACCACCCACAACAGGCCCGAGGGCAGGACCACAAACAGCTGCGATACCCCAAATCGAGATGCCGTATGCTTGTTTCTTGGGAGCATACATGTCCGCGATTGTGGCGCCACCAGTGGCAAGGACAGGACTGCCGATGAAGCCGGTGATAAATCGGAATGCTAGGAGCATCCCAAAATTCTTGGCATATATGACGCCTAACTGAAGGACAACAAAGAGTACTAGGGTGATGATGTAGATGGGACTGCGACCGAAGAAGGGCATCTCAGACATTGGGGCCTACACTCGTTAGCTGTGGACGAGACCAGGCGGAGAAATAAGAGGCATGTACCAAAACCATAGGTCCGAGGGCATAGCCCAAGACGAACAATGTAAGGCCAAGAAGAGCTGCTACGTCGCTGACGCCAAACTGTTGCATCACTCCTTGAAGGCCTGCCGTGTAGATTGCTGAACCGATGTAGACGGCTATTGTTAAGAAGCAGATCTGGAAAGTGACGAAGACTTTCTTGGTGGTGGACCAATTTCTGGGATTCTGCTATACGTCAGATATGATTGTGACAATTCCTCCGGTAGTATGGTACCTCTGAGTCGTTCTCGAGCCAATCGACGAGTTCATAATCATTGCCCTTCTCCGGGTTGCGCTTCTCGACAAGAGGGACATTAGAAGATCCAGAGACGGATGTTTCTGAGGTAGAGGCCGACTTGGGCACGATGTATCTCTGGAGCCTCGAAGGATCTCTTTGCTCTGCCGGAGGAAATAGCTTTCCTCCAGACACAAGATGCACGATTCGTCCAAAGATGGTTTCACGAACGAGGTCCTGCATTGCGACGATAGTCTTCAGTGAACGTGTTGATGATGGGTTCCTGATTGAGGAGAACAATGAAGCAGTACCTTTCTAATATAGGTAGCCCGCTACCTCGGACGGTTGTTGATTTTTCGAGCAGAAGCGGAGGAAATTCAAGCGAGTGGCCGATCGCGGAAGTTTCATGATCACTACATCCAACAATGGCGGTGTCTCGCCCATAGTCTATAGAGAGCAGCATGATGCCCGTTGTGTACCAATGGCGTCATGTCCACAGATGGATGCGGATTTCGCGGGTATCAGCGAAGCAACGGTTGGGGCGGGATTTGTTTCTTTGTCCATTGCGGCGTTTAACTCCCATGTGGTTCATATCGATCTTACACATGTGAAGACGATGCCCCAGTATGATGATTACTATCCACGGATCTCGCGTTTTGATTAAGAATCCGGGTGGATGGGCCGGGATCGATTCCGCTAGTCTGAAGAAAGCTAGAGCTGATCAAACTTGCAATCGGCTGAGAATACTCCGTTTGCCCGGATCCAGAATGAAACCTTGTACATTTTTTTAAGCTCCATAGAAGCACATGGATCATCAGGAACTCTCTCAAGGACTTGGTGCTAGTAATCGTCGTACAGATCGGCTCACGTGCGGAATGTCGCCAAATCGTAGGCAGATCGGAGGAGCACCGCATAAGCACAAATTGCTTGATGGAAAGAGCCCGAGGTAGAGAATGAGACCACCACACTCTCACCCAGTGCTTGTGGCCATCGTCTAGCTATGTGCATTGTTTTAATTCGGAGTGAGAGGAGGATCGTTGCTATGGCATTCTTCTGTCGTTTGGTCGGTGCTATCAAACCGAATCGAATGCTTCGTTGGTAGCTCCCTTCGAGGTATTCGCAGGGAATGCAATATTCGCTCTCTTACCCTATCTACAAATCCCTAGCAAACTCCCCTTGCCAAAAAAACATCATGGTCGCTTAGCAGGACCAACACCAGTTTCTTCCTGGAATGAACCCATTAAAGCAACAAGACAGTATCATATGCATCCTTCACCATGTGTTGAATGACGGCGGTGGTGCATTATCCGACCCAGACAGGTAAGCCTCGTGAGATTGAAAATCGTCGATAAAAGATGCCCAATTCGTCCAAGCCATCTGATTCATTTCATCGTTATAATCAATTTGATCTTTTGCTCCCGTGGCGAACGACGAAGCCCAGTCGACGGACATAGGCTCTGGGCCCGTCCCAATTTGTTGTGGCGGATTTAGTGTGCTGGAATTATCAAGCAACGGCTTGGGCTCAGCCTCCATGTCCATTCCGTTTGTATCAGAATGCTGAGTGATAAGCCACGGGACAGCTTGTTCGGCGGCAGTGGGAGCTGCTCCAATAGATCGAGAGCGCAAGGCAGCTGCGGCGTCTGCCAGATGCTTCCTTCGAACCTCTTGCGCCCTGGTCATCAACTTCTTGATCGGTCGCCACAACCTTCCCTTGTCCGAATCTGCGACATGCTGAGCTGTTTCCTCAAAGACGGGATCGACTATACTCCACGCCCGCTCAACAGTCGGTCCTTCGGTCTGCACACAAAGCTCGGCAATCATGACAGCAAGAGCATACCACTGAACCCAGATAGAGGAGATCCATTTGAAAGGTCTTGCACAGGGATCCATTGATAATTTTATGGACTTGTCCATGACCTCGACGGCAAGATGAAGAATTCCAGGTTGTGGTATCTTCAACGATGTAGGGCTATCCGAGTGCGGTTGCAGAGGCCGGTAGGCAAAGAACCACATGGTGGCATTCATAATATGTGAAAGCAACATCGCGTAGCGTTGCTGAGGTATATCCGTGTTGAAATGCCGCAGATATTTGTCTTCGACACGTCGTTGGCTCACACTTACCCAGCCTTTCCTCTGGGCCCAAAAGTCATCGCTCGTCTCTAGTGAGCGATTGAACTCATCAGCAGGGATGTAAGTGAGGCGACGCTCAATTTCAAACACCTCATGGCATATCAGAGAGAGCACAGTATCTGTGTACCCTTCTCGTGGCTGGACCTCATTAGGATCATTCGGATGTAGATCCTCATCGTTGACATTGAGGGGAAGTCGAGTATTGAAAGCATGTGCAGTGATGATCGGGTCCGTGCCACGATCGATAGACGCTTGCCTGTCAAGGATACATATTTGCCACCATAGTCGACGCCGCATTTCGCGCTCGAAAGGAAGGTATGGTGAAGTGTATTTGCCTCCAAATTTTTCTTTGTGGAGGCCAAGAGCATGAGCAATGCGAACAGCCAGACTTGTCATCGTCCAAGTGCGTCGGGAATTCTCATTGCTTCGAACAGCAAACTATACACTATCGTCAGCCATCTCTCCTGATTGGTGCCCAGACTGACCAAGATTGGGGTTGGACAAGGTTGACGAGGTCGATTACCAGATAGAGCACTAGAGCTTGTAGTGTTGACACATCCTCCGTATTGACAAAGTCAGCCCTTGCTAGCGCAAGTTCTGTGCTAGATCGAAACCTGTGAAGCAGTACGGCCTTTTCTTCGCCGAGCTGTTCCAAGCATTCATCAGGCGTCCAACTCGTCGTGGTAGTATAGTAGATAGCAAACTTGACGGCATCCCATCCTTTCGGTCCAGAGCTACAGTCGAGCCCATCAGTCTCTCCAGTGAAGTGCCGTCGTAGTGAAGGGCCGTGCAAGAGCTTCACCACAGGATCCACATTTGTCATAAACGATAAATAGAGCGCGTACGCTTGCGAGCGACTGGGATGTTTCACGTGGTTTTCGGTGTCGCCCAAGACATCAGCTGTGCGTATCACAAAATTTGATTGGGTGGATTGAGCAATCCCCGTCGAATCCGAGTTGGGCGTTAGCCTGCCGTCGTCCTCCTCATCTGATGGTTGGTTTAGGGCCTCACGCATGCCATGAACCTACGTCTATTAGCGGAGATGTATTCATAACCTAACCCCCGTGCCCAACCAAGGTTCTGTGCACTGAAGAAAAACTTGCCTCATCGCCGAGATTGCTCCAGAGGCTACCTCCTAGATATAGATCCGATCCCTCCTTGGGCGCCCTCAGCCCAGCATCCACTGTCGAACCTCTGAAGACATGGGATTCCAATTCTCTCGAAGCCTGAAGGTAGTTCAGATTAGTGAGCTGCGATAGTCTTCATATAGCTCAGGCGAGAAGATCCTCATACATTTCTGCTCTCTTCAGCTGTCGCTGACGGCGGCTTCGCCATTACGGATGCCGCTCCACTAGTTCCTTGCTTGAGTAGCTGTTCTAGTTTCGCAACACGATCCAGCAGCTCGCTATCAAGCTTACGGCGACCTCCTTGTCTGCCTCTCGGCGCACCTGAGGGTGTAGAGAACACACATACTGCCCCTACTCGCACACAATGAGAGCAAGGGTCTGCTCTGTCGCATTTGATCTTCCGTCGCCGACATAGGTTGCAACTTGGAAGGGTCGTCTTTCGAGGCCGGTTTTGACTATTACTGTGTAGAGATCGGACGGAGGATGCTGTAGCTTGCGCCGGTGGTTGGGCTTCTTTTAGCGGAGGTACAGACTGTGAACTCGGGTATGATGAGAGGAGCAGGTTTTGAGCCATCTGCCTTGAAGAACGGCTGGTATCCAATCCGTGTATTCTGCTGGTACTAGATTGTCGCAAATTGGAGCTGGATTCTGATGTACGGATTGAGCACTGATTGTGGCGCAGGGCATGTCTCCAAGCTGCGGCTGCCTAATCTTGTGCCATTGCAATTGTTTAGTACTGTACTACGTAGTACGGAGTCTGTGCATCAAAAGTCATCATTATACACTAACTAGGAGAAGTCAAAGCTAGCCATTTCTGTACTAGAGTGTTGTTAGCAGGCGGTGGGGGGTGTAGAAATGGTGGGGACGGATAGTTGAAGCGTAACTAACACAGACATGTGAGTCACGTTAAAAAGCCTGAAAGGGGCCCTAGGAGTTTCTAGAATAAGAGGGTCGTCTCAGCAGCTCTAGGGCTCCACCCCTATAGTACATCTTTTACGCAACGCTAAAGCTCAGATTGAGTGTGCTAGTGACGCTCTACTTTAGCGTATATTGATGACTTTTGAAGTACGACTCCGCAACTACGTGACAGATCGCACATGCACAGATCGACAGCTAAGTACGGCGGACCGAAGGACCTCGACTAATGTCGAATTTCAGATAACAAATCTCTGCTAGCGCACCTTAATCTTGGAGCAAGAAGAGGGAACCTAATGGCTGGACTTCGGTCTCATATCTGGAACCACATCCTCCGCACGTCTAGCATGATCTTTATCTCTACATATATTCACTGTGAGGTAAATGACTGCCTTGCCAGTAGGCAGGCTAGAGCCTTCCACATCTTAGTTCCACTGTCTAGCGAGTGGCGAGGACTTTATTTACGAAAAGGGATATTCCAACCTGATTGCTGGATTCGGACAGCCTATCCAGAATCTCAACCGCTTCGTTACCAGAATGAACCGTAAAGTTTAACATGTCATGCAGGCTGGCAATCGTATTTTATCTGACGGTTTATCGAGGTAAGGTGATTGTCTCGGTATGGTCATCGGCTCATGGCCGCCGGATTCCTTGGATAAATGCTCAGAAGATTTCAAGTCAGGTTACTGCCAAACAGCTTTATTCTCCTGGGCAAATGTATCAAAGTTCTTCGGTGGTCGTCCTGTCACTTTTTCCACAGTATCATTCATTCTATTCTCTGCTCCACCCGCAGCTGAGACTTCGAGGGCAGTGAGGAATTTGGCGTAGTGCTCCGGCAGGCCATGGCTCATCAGACCCTGAACTCTTTGTTCTTCAACGAGCTTTACGTGTTCGATTTTGCGTCCCAGACAGCTGCTGAGTTTTGCTGCCACCTAAGGAGCTAGCGTCAGTGCCGATTCTGTGGTCAATACGGGACTAGGAAGAACGTGGTTATACCTCGTCGTAAGTCAACAACTCAGGCCCTAGCAGTTCATATTGAGTATTGTGAGATTTCGCATCGGTAAGGGCGCGGTATGCGACGGCCGCTATATCCGACGCACTGATGAACGGGATCTTGCCATCGCCGCATGCTGTATATAACTTGCTCTGGTTTTGGATCACAAAACGTTGCGCTTCCTCGGAGAAATTCTCTATGTGTCCTGCGATGAGCCTAAAGACATCTCCACTACTCAGACAGTCAAGAGCACTAACCCATAAACCAAGTAGGACATAGCACACAATAATCAATCCCTGTATCAAGAAAGTGCTGCCACACTTTGCCCACCCCAGACTTGCCAGGCTGGGCCGATGTACCTGCAACGAGGACAAATCGTTTGACATTGTGCTCTTTGATGGCGTAGTCGATAAAGGCGTTCATTGAAGTCTCTGGGTCGTCGACGACTGGCGCCATAAGGTAGACGGCAGAGATGGATTCTCCATTTAGAAACTTGTGCTCAAATGGCTTTCCCCAAGTCGAGGAGTCAAGCCAATCAAACTTCGTCGCCGGCATCCCAAGTGGGGCTGCATCTCCGCCTCTTCGTGATGCTAAAAGGAAAGGAATGCTTGCTTCTTGCAAGAGACGCGCAACCCGCACTGAAGTCTTGCCGGTACCACCAGTAAGGAGAATTGCCATTGTGGTAGATGAGTAGATACTGTCAGGGATGAGTGAGTGAGATATGTGAAACTAAAAGAGGCTTGAGAGCAGGTTCAATCGGACTAACTGCTCGACAGATCGTCCATTTATACCTTAGTTCGGCGGAATGGGTTGTTCAGTGGAGATAAGATAAACAAAAACCGTCCGTACGAGTCAGGATTTGTGCCTGGAGCAACGGGAACAGCCGCGAATGCTTCCCCCGGAGATAAGGGCAATCATATTGTAGGCATCTTTTAGGCATCTTTTGTCACCTCTTGGGGGTAAGACGCACCTTGACCAGGAGCCAATGGCCAAACCGGCTAGCTGGTAAGGCAAAGGCAGTGTTTAGTGAAAAGGAAGTCTACTAAAGTATCAAACCCAGTCGGAATTCGACCATTGAATGCTAGTGATGCGTGCCAAGTAATTTTTCTGGTGTCGCTTTAACCATCTCCTTCCGTGTTTTTTGTAAACGGATCTTTAATGATGCCGATTCCGTCGCCCTGCCAGATTCCAAATGGCAGGGATCGATTGCAATCCCTTTCTGATATGGGACAAAACCCGCTGCCACCCATTACCTATCATAGATTGGTCATGGTGCGCGCGTCGGTCTGAGACGAATTCCACAGAAGAACCAGCATCTGCAATATTCTGCTTGACTTACTGTCACAAGGAAAAGACATTCATCAATCAGCGACCCAAAAACACTAGGCAAAAAGGGGCGAGAGTCCTAATAGAATGTATCGAGGGGTAAGGAAAATCTGCGGAAAGAAGGCTAACAGTGTCGCTGAAGTCCATCATCAGCGCCTGCGAAGAGTAGGTACTGAAACTGACAAACATCCCGGACCCTTTCGAGACAATACATCGAGGATAGTAGTTCCATGGTCCGCTAAATTACGGGCTCTCGTATGTATGTAATGGGAAACGTGTCAACAGTCTCACCGAGCAGGAAAAATCTTCATCCGGCTTCCTGCGGCGCTGACCAGCTATCATTTTCAGGTTGATACTATTTGACCATGCTCGATGAAGGTTTCAGGAACCCTGTGCCTCGGCTCTACCCCGCCGGCCTGCGGGGGAACATTGGAGCCAAATCAACGGCCGTGAGGGTGTGAAATTGAGCTCTTCGTTACTGCATACCACCGTTGTTCCTTCATGCCTATCAAATGCTTCAGCATATCGTAGCCGCTTCTCCGTGGTTAGACCCTGTCTCGGCTTAATTCTCCCCGTCTGAAAGACTACATAAAACTATGTCCGGTGCCTCGAATCGTCTGACCAAGATCCAAGACGCATTGACAATGAACAAGACCGCAACTACCATCCCCTGGGACCCAGACTGCGCCATCTTTCCGACAAGAAAAGAATTGCCTACCATCCCAGGAGCACCACCAGAGGCTGCCTGGGTCTGGGGTGAAGATGATCACATTGGCAGATTAAACCTGCTCACACCGACAAGAATCAAGGCTGCATCTGCTGAGATCAAGACTGGCGAGGTTATACCTCTGGAGTCAGTCTTCTACTCGTTTGCACTCCAGGGAAACATTGAAGCTAAATTGTCTGATCAGTCTGCCTCTCAACGTCCCAGAAGTGCCCGGTTTCTCCCGAGAACAGTTCAAGCACAAGATTAAGGTTCTTGCCGAAGGCATAGCCTACGATGACATATACGAGTTAAATACCCAGAGCGGGACTCAATGGGATGGCTTCCGCCATGTATAGCAGCCCTTCATACTCCGACCGACCATATCCATACCCATCTAACACCCTCCCCAGTTCGCTCATGTCTCAACCAACACATTCTACAACGGGGTCCGCGCTATCGACATCGTCGGCCCCAGCGCCAACCACAGAGACAGCATCCATCACTGGGCGAACCATGGCATAACCGGCCGCGCCTTTCTTCTCGACTACTACTCCTACGCCCAATCCCAAAACATCACATATAGCGCCTACAGCGCGTATGGAATCTCCTACGCTGACCTAGCCGCCTGCGGCAAAGCCCAGGGGATCGACATCCGCCCGGCTGCGCAGGGAGGCGACATCAAGGTCGGCGACATCCTCCTTATCCGCTCGGGCTTCGTGGAGCAATATCACAACCTATCAAGTGCGGAACGCAAGGCCCTCGCTCTCCGCCAACATACCGTCGATCCTGCTACTGATGGTCAACGTTACGCGGGCTTAAAGCAGGAAGAGCCCATTCTGGATTGGCTTCATGACTGTTATTTCGCGGCGGTAGGGGGTGATGCGCCGGCTTTTGAGAGGTGGCCAACCACTGAGCCATGGTATATGCATGAGTATATATTAGCGTTGTGGGGGATGCCATTGGGGGAGATGTTGGACCTGGAGAGGTTGAGTAAGATGTGCCACGAGAAGAAGAGGTGGTTTTTCTTCTTTACCAGTGCGGTAAGTAATTGTCCAGGTGGGGTGAGTAGTCATGTAAATGGGTCGGCTATCTTTTGATCGTTGAATTGGGTTGTGGCAGAGAGAAGGCACAGACTTCTGTCATAGTCTACCGCTGACTACATCAATGCCATCAACGCCAAATATGATTTTCTCCGACCCAAATCGGTATGCCCAAACCAGGAAATTCTGCATTGCGGCCACCGCAACTTGACTTTCTCGCTACTATTTTCCTCGCCCCTTCGTAATCATTTATCGCCTCCTCCGTCTCTCCATCTGCTCTTTCCCACTCTTGTTTCAACGTCCCTTCCTCGTAGTGCTCATCGCCTCCTCACCATCTTCAGCATGTCCAAGTCTGGATTGTGCCGTTCGGCGCAGCTGGGCCTGAAGCCCTTGAGGACGGCAGTGTCGAGTCGTAATCTTGTGAGCTCCACAAGACACTCCTTTTTCGTTATAGATTATATTTCCTGCATGAATTCATTGTCAAGATTGTGGGATGATGAAGTCGGTTGGGGGCTGAAATATGTCTGCAAAGTAAAGACAGTGTGGATGACCTAATGTCTGACCAAGTCACAGGCTAGGCTTCCGAGTTGCAGTGATCAAAGTACACTTGAGCCGCAGTGGTACTTACAATGTTCTCGCTTCAGCCAACAGGCATGGCGGTACTCGCATCCCTGCACTAATGCGGGACACAAGGCTGCCTGCTGAGGCGAAGTTCGTAGCAGAATGCTGTGAATGAGGCTGTGAGAGGTCGAACCTTGGAACCAAGCTGGTCTTTCGTCACCGAATCTTTCAACAGCTTATAACGTGTTCGCATCGCAGCTGTTGTTGTCGAGCAATCCGTTAATTAGTGCAAGAAAGGAAAGCCCAAGACGTCAATACGTAGTAGTTGAGGGATGACATACTGTAATAATCATGGCGGAAGCCTTCGGCTTTTCGACCGGCGACTTCATCAACAGTATCAACCTCGTTAAAGACATCATCAAAGCTCTGAATGACAGCAAGGGATCATCAAGAGAATATCTAGAAGTCATCGCCGAGCTGAGAGGTCTTGAAACGGTCCTCATACTCGTCAAAACCCAGTACAACACAACAGCACAGATCAGTCAGAGAACCGCTTTGCGTCAGGCTGTGGAAGATTGTCACACCTGTATCGACAATTTCCTTCGGTCGATTCAGAAGTACCATGGACACCTTACTACGCTTGGGTCAAACAACAAATGGAAAGATGGACTGCGAAAAATTCAGTGGCATCTGTGTAAGGCGGATGAACTCTCCTCGTTCCGCCTACGCATCGCTTCCCAGGTCCAGAATATCGAGATGCTTTTGGTCACCATCCAAGCGTAAGCTACGTCAAGAAGGAGGATTGTGGCATTTTCTGACGCCTTAGATAGCTCAGCGCTTTCACTGTCCACTCAGTCCGCCCAAGCTCAAGAGCGGGAGCTGAAATGTCAAACTGGTGAACTGTCCAGCATGGTAGACTCCGTGAAAGCAATTACCATAGCATTTGAGGACTTGAAAATGGCCTGCACATAATCAGGCTCTGTGAACGAACAGGCTCTAAAAGCGATTAAGTCTACAAAGCAGATATTAACGTACGCTCTACTGCATAACTAGATGGCATAATTCTAACTTACAGCAGTTGGCAACACTTGTAGACCTTTAGCATGCTTCAAAAGATCCAAGACTCCCTGCCTCTACAGGTCATGCTACAGAAACCGGTCATGTTCCTGGACGCTTTAGATCGGTTAGCGCCTATTCATTTAGAGTGGATCAACAGCCACGAGGCTTTCTTTGCCGTGTTGAAGGTTCGCTTCAAACACGTTGGCCTCCAGATGATCAAAAGCGGCCAGTTTGCACTACAGGCGACGAAGAGGAAGAGAGACGTGGACTTAAACAGACCTTGGGACAGCTGCCTGTACCCTGGTCAGGCTTATGATATGAGTATGCTATTTCAATATCAAGGCTTTAGTCCTAATAACTTGTGTACAGCTTGCCACTATCTGTGCTTTGACAACCCTGGTGAGGAAATCACCTGGTGAGCAGTCCCAGCTACATCTAATCCTGTCTAAACGTTTGCTAATACTCCGCTTAGCAAGAACTGCCAGACCACCTTTCAGCGAGTTTTGAAGTGTCTGAGGACAACAGTAGCAACGAAGAAGAAACTGTACCTCTTTCGGGACACAAAGACTTGGTTAATTTACAACTGAGAAAGCGACAAGCTCAGGAGAATAAGAACATAGATCGAGTGCAAGATTTCCACTGTGTTCGCATGATATGCCTAATGCGAACTCCTTCGAACAATGTATCTGATAGTGATCTACGGGGGAATAAATCTAAGAGTGGTTTGCCAAGACACGGATCTTATAAGAATTGGTCGAACGATGAATCTAAGCCAAGCTCGTCGAACGTTGGATCTGAGAAGAGTTCGTCAGACACGTCAGACTTCGCTGCAACAGCAGTGTCAACCGCCCATGCTGTGAAACCCAGTCTACAATCGATTAAATCAAACGTGCTAGCCGGATCGCTCCATGGCGGTCCATCAACAGCCGCTGAACCATCTGAGAGGAATTCATTGAATTCTTCTAGGGGCGCAAACTCCCCTGCACACGCTCTACAAAGAGGCTCTTTTGGGGGGTGGTGGAAGTGTTGTGCTTGTGCCAACTTTAACAATCCAGATTCTTACACTGGAAGATGTATCGTATGCGGGCATATTGGGCCCGGATCATGCTGTCCTCGTTTAGGGAGCTTGGACGCTTGCCGCCTTCGAACGCCGCCTCCCTACTATGTAGTTTCAGTAAAGCAAGCCTGAACCAGAAACTTATCGCGCAATATAAGGCACCAACTAGGGCAAGATAGTACATATGGCTAAGCGACTTGCATGTGCAGCAACACTAGGATGCATTAATTCTATCAGCCTAACCCTCGTTGCCGTTGCAACCAGTAATGACCAGCATCACAGATCCAGGACAGTGATTATTACTGCTTAGTGACAGCCTCCGGTTATCGTAAAATCGTGAGAGGTTTCGGCAGGGATACATCAAGACGTGCAGAGTTTCGTTTTTCTTCTTCTCTGGACATCTTTATGCAGTCACTCAGGACGACATTCCTCTCGTAAGTGACGTTGAGGAACCTCCATGTAGATTTTCAGGCCCAAGGAGCGCGCTGCAAGAACATTTCTTGCTAGTTAGTTACTCACCGTCCCAAGTTATCGTCCGTGAGGCGGAAGGATCTACATCTTATTTGTTGACTAAATCAGCAGGTCTTCATGTTTCCAAGACAAAATGCTGGCATAGTATGTACAATCTTTGCTCCGTCAAAAAGTCAATTCTATCCCGTGACAATCTGTATATTCTCCTCCTCTTATGCCCCACCCCCCACCTTCATCACACCTACTCCTCCACTGGAGACTTCCCACCCTTATCGAACTCATCCGCTGCCCTCCATCCTGTCCCAGCCTGCACAAGCGTAGTAACTGCTGCCACCACCGCTGCCGTCAAGAACAACGTCCTTAAGGCAACCACATACCCCTCGACCGCCACCTCCCTCTCCACTCCCACCAATCTACCCACCAGCGCCGGACTACCCAACAACCTTCTAATCAGCTCCTCTTTCCCCTCCAACGGGAAGCCCCTGTCCTCAAAACCCTCCCTTAACGCCTGCGTCAAAATTCTTGAAAAAACCCCGCCACCAATCGCGCTCCCAAAACTCGCCGACAAACCCCTAAACATCGCAAGCAAGCTCGACACAATAAAGTGCGACTCCTTCGGCGTCCGATGCAGCACGTGCGTCAGTGTGTAAATCATATTCGCGCCGATCGTGAAACCATTTACGCCCGCCGCCAGATAGTACCATCCCATCTCCACTTCCCTCGTTGTAATGCTCCCGATCACCAGTAAGCTTAGCGAGAACAGCAGATACACCACCAAACAGCTCGTGTAGAAACTGCCGGCTCTCTTGACGTGGAAATAGCCCAGCAGCAGGTTTCCGAGCGCGAAGCCACCGTTTGTCGGTAAGAGGATCAGCCCGGCTTTTGCGGGAGAGAAGTCCCGAACAGCGAGCGCGTAGACGGGGGTGTAGAAGAGGATGGACCAGCGCGCTATCATGGCGCTGAGGGTTGAGAGGCAGGTTAGGAGGACGGCGGGGGATTTGAGAATAGGGAGGGGGAGGATGGGCTGGGTTGTTGAGAGGTAGGGTCTAGACTCTATGAAAAGGAAGGCGAGGAGGGTGATAAGAGAGCAGGCGATGGTGGAATATGTTATCTGGGGGGTGGAGAGGCCATAGAGGAAAAGGACGGTGGTTGTTATTAACAGGAGGACTCCGAGGAAGTCGATTTGCGAGAGGCGGTTGGGAAGATGGCCAGGGTTTATGATGTTTGTGTGCTTGGAGAAGATGGATGAGGGAATAGCAAGGAAGATTCCGATTCCCATCGTGATTGATAGCGGGACCTGAAGGGCGAAGATGCCTCTCCAACCCGTGACGGGCTCAAGGGCACCTGTGATGATGGCACCACATGCAACACCGATGGTGTAGCAGGTGTTGACGCAGCCAATATAGAGACCTCTTCGTTTCACGTTGGTCAATTCGATGATGAGGATCAAAGATACAGGGAAAATGGCGGCTCCGCCGACACCGTGGATGGCACGACCCAGAAGGAAGACCGCGAGACGAGGAGATAGAGAAGCAATGAGAGCTCCGGCTGCCATGATAAGACATGACACGAGGATATATGCTCGAGGGGAGAACAAGTGGCACAGGCGGCCGGCAAGGGGAGTGATGCTCGAACCAGCAATCTGATTCTCGTCAGCATTTCTCGGCGGACTGACAACCTGCTGCCACAACGACAACGTACAAGATAGGTAGACGTGAACCAGCTCGCATTTTGGAATGCATCGAGATCTACCGCAATGGCGGATTGGATCGTGGTCATCATGGAAAAGTTGGCCGCTGCACGAAGCGAAGCACGTCCCGGTTAGTGACAAGTAGAACGAGCTGGGAGGTAGACGATGCTCACTCTGGAGAAAGATCAGGATTGCAATGCATGCTCCCAGTACTATTCCCCGCAGGGCTGAGATCTTCGATCCCTCTGTAAAGTCATCTTCCGATGCGGTGCTGACCGATTCATCTGCTATTGTGGTGGTGGTTGACGAGGATGACGGAGCGAGCAGTGGCGCCCGCTCGCTGTCCTCGGTGGGCACAGCCATGTTTGCCGGCTTCTGGGGGGATAGCCGGTATCATAAGCATGGAGTCTATCGCATTGACGTTGTTGGGCACAGGCACAGATGATAGCCAGATGATAGCCATCTTTCAAGACAGACATGAGAGATTTGTTCAAAAGTGTTGAGAGACGTGATGAAGGGAGGATTAATAAGCGGATCGTCCGAGATGGCCGGACCAGACGGAAGTTCTCAGCCGTGCTATGAGCAAAGGGCACATGACCACTTCGCCAAAAGGACAGCGCCAGTGGGTTCCGAACCACAATTAATTGATGTACCCCTCACTGACTCTACTACGGTTATGTTGCTTGGACAATGACTAAGTCAAAGGTGTCTGCTGAGTCAACGACTAGCCCATTTCGAGCATGGCGTAGGTGGCTCTGCCTACTAAGCCCGTCTGGAGAACCTTCGGACCGAAGGACCGAGGCAGACAATTAACGACATGGAGGCCCCACCAGAAAAGATCTTACTACGTTATTTATGTGATAATCCCTATGTAACCAGCAGCTCCCCAGTCACCTCTGACGCCGAACCATAACCTGCGACACCGGGCCGATATTAAAGCTAAAGGATACAAGACTGACCGCGAAGGAGGAAAAGCTTCCGTAACGTTTCGTATTGCTGACAAGCCTGAGTAGCAAAAAGTCAACTAGGTAAGGTGAGGTAGGTATGCGGGCATAGACACCTCGTATCGTACCACAGGGGGGAGCGCTATTGAGAACTGCTGCTCATTGTAGGTACCTTCCATCTCTGTTTTCTTTGAGCCAGTATTCTACCAGTATCAGTGTATGGTCTCTATCCAATCTCAATACTACCAAGCCATCAAAGACCGCTGACTGCACTTTGCTAGTTGGTTTTCTGGCTGTCCCATATTTCATCTTGTCCCAGTTTGGTTCAACATGGCGGATGCTCTTGCCTCTCCTTTGCAGGTGATGTATAAGTATAATAGTGTCTTGTTTATCGTCTAACTCTGCTATTTGTCGTCAATCGCCTCTCCCTTCCTTTCTTGGCCTGCAGAATTACTAAATTAAGGTGTGTCCCCTATTCTCACAATGCTTAATCAGTAACCCCGTCTTCTCTTGAAAAGATTAATCAAACTCTCGCCTCCCTCCCACTTCCCCAGATTGATGTTTAGAATGTCCACTACATGCTTCAAATAGTCCGCCGTGACCCCGCTCACATGCGGCGTGACTAAGACATTTTTCGCATCCCACAGCGTGCTCTCACTTGGCAGTGGTTCCGGGTCCGCCACATCGACCGCGGCGCCCCTTATCACGCCGTTATTTAGGGAGCTCACTAAGTCTTCTTGGACGACGACGTCCCCTCTGGCCAGATTCGAAACGAAGGGACCACCACCATTCGGCGCCGAGGATGGGCTGTTCGTAGCAAGGACTTCGAATTCCTCCCACCCAAGTAAATGCCGTGTACTGGTGCTAAGTGGGACAGCGATGAGGAGAATGTCCAGCTTCTGGGACAGAAAGTGGTGCAGCGAGCTCTTGTCCGTGCCGGAGAACCATTCACTGGGGATCGTGCCGTCGACGTCCCCGGTACCGGGGATGGTATATGTAGTCAAGCGTCTTGACTCGGGAGTCTTTTTGGCTGATGCCGTGTAGGCGAGGACTTCCATTCCTAACGCCTGAGCCAGCCGGGCCGCTTGCCGACCGATGCCGCCGTATCCAAGGATGCCGAGTCGTTGTCCTTGCAGAGATTTTCTTGACGTGAATTTCAGGGGGTTGCCCCATTCACGCTTCTTCTGCAGATCATACAGGTCGGGGAGCCGTGTTTGGTGAGCCAGGAGTCCTAAGATGAACCATTCCGCCATTGGCGGTCCATGGATGCCGGTGGAAGTGGTGACCAAGATATCGGTCGATGTGAGCATGGAATGTGACAGGTGGGCATCGATCCCGGCGCTGATAAAGTGGATGAGCTTCAATCGCGGGCATAGTGACGGAGATGCAGGGAGGCAGTTGAACGTTACAAGAATGTCGACGTCGGACCACGCGCTCTCGTCCATTGTGGGGTCCTTGAATGCAGTTTCACGATACGTGGTCCGATAGCTCGGATGGGCGGTGGTCAAGGCGGCCAGGGCCTGCTGGATGGTAGGTTCCGGAAAGGGGAGGGCAAAGAGAATGTGCTTGTCTGTATGGATGGAGTTCTCCATGGGATTTGTGCCCATTTCTTTTAGCAAAGGATATTCTGCCAATGTTCAAAGTTGTGCGAGCCCTGCCAGGTGTTGATAAGGAGCAACGACCTTGTCCTGTGCCGAGGAGGTTAATCTGTCTCGACAGATGGTATGCAAGCGAATTTAAGAGAATGCAAAGTTTTTGCTTACGACTGTAATGGTGCTGGTTTGCATGAAGTGGCGGTTCGTGCCAAGTTGATACTGTATCTACAATACTAGTAGCACAATACGTAGTAAGGCGCTGGTGAGCCCAGTGATCAGAAGAGGGCCGGTCGGCCCCTGGCGATCCGCTATACTATACTAGGTTAGCTACCGTATAATTCGTATTACCTCGGAATGCGGTAGGAACGGTATATTCAGGACGGTATATTCGGCAACGGTATATTCATTCGGCCGAAAGTCTTAGCATGGACAAGCAAGACGGATTTCATGCTAGATTACCAAGACTTATTAAATCATTTTGCTAAAGCTCAGATTTTGTAAGATCTTCTATTTAAATAACATAAGTATATATATATGTTAATTATTAATATAAAATCTACTTAAAATATTACTAATGATATTAATTAATAGCTTATATATTTTTACCTATTAATCAATAACTAGTCATAATAGAGTTATTTAATTATTAAGAAGTTTTACACTAAAATATCTGCCGAGGTATCAGTCCGAATACACCATTCTGATTATACTGTTCCTAACGCAGTCTCTATTACTTCTGAAATACGTGCATCTTGAGACCTGATCTTGCATGGATAGCCATATACAACGTAGCATTATGATGTGTAAGCTGAATGTTACCGTTGCTGCGCTTGGATCAGGGAAGGCTATTACATTGATAAATATCCCTGATGCATTTGACATATTCGGCAACGGTATATTTTTCCGTTTAGGTCTTGGTGGGTTTTTACATACTGCGAATACTAGTATTTACTCCGTACTCCGTAAATTTGCCCCTCATGTACCTATCTTGCTACTATCCTTACCTCTGCCTTTCGCCCTGCCGTATCCTGTACTAACGCTTCTTCCTGCAAAGACTTACTGACAGAATTAGTATCATTCTTGACTAGCCGATTGAGCCGAGTCATCTTGAACAAGAATGAGGGCAAGCATACGATCAGATCTCTGACTTCATCGCTGACCAACATATTACGCATGCACCAGCCTTGGCCGCCCCCGCCATGCTTCCTGTACCGTACACGACTAGTAATCCACTAGAAGGCACATCACTTCCGACACTATATTTAGAAAAGGATTTGCTGCTTACCCCATTAGCATTTGTTGAACCACAATTGGTCGCTAACCAGCTATTTTTCTGACAGCATTCTACTGCTCATGCTTGGATTTGTAACGTTGCTCATTAATGCGGCGAAGAATCATTTCGACGTCTACTATGGAACCTGTCATTTGTCTTCACACGAGCCAGGGCGTGTCTCCACCGAGGTCCACGTTTCTATCCTGGGATCTCCAATACTACTATAAATTACCCATTCTTGCATCCTAAGATGTTTAAATCCTCTCTTCTCACCTTCCTTCAGATCCTAAACCATTCCCTATTCCTTAACTCATAAGTCTCCTACCTTGAAACTTCATTTCAATATTCCGCCTTTCTGTCTTCCTCATCGAAAAACCAACCGTTTCCAACATGCAGGCCATTCCCCCAAAAGGTCGAGGAATGCTCGACTATCAAGCTCCATCACTCTTCCAACCACATCGAGCACGTCAGGCCATACGTGACGCCCATGAGGGCAAGATCGGGCCGTTGGTGGGCATCTACTTGGGACTTAGCTCTATTCCGGTAGCAAGGCACGTCGCATCTTTCGGCTTTGATGCTGCATGGGTTGATTGGGAGCACTCATCGTGTAACGTTGAGACCATGACCACAGTCAGTTAACCTCACCAGTGCTTCCAAATAAATCGTGCTAACTTATTTCATAGATGGTTCACGAACTTATGTTCATGTCCGGCGGACGCACCATACCCTTCGTCCGTATTCCCGGCCACGACCATGCCGCAGTTGGCTATGCCCTTGACGCCGGTGCTAGCATTGTCGTTCCGCAGGTCGAGACGGTTGAGCAGGCCAAACATGTCGTCTCAGCCGCCAAATTTGGCACCAAATATGGTGGCACTCGCTCGGCACCGCCCTTCCGCCTGATCCCGGGTCTTACGGACGGACTCGTCGACCCCTCCCTCTCCCTTCACGAAAACCTCAACCACCAAGCCGCCATCATCATCCAGGTCGAGACCCTCGAGGGCATCCGCAATCTCGACGCCATCCTGACAGAGTGCCCGCAGATCGATGCCGTTTGGCTCGGCACCCTCGACGCCCGTGTCTCCATGAACCTGCCCGGTAACATGGGCTTCGGCGGCCAGGAACAGGAATGGCAAGACGCCGTGGCCCTGTACGAGGCCACCATGCAGAAGCATAACAAGCCCAAGTCCGGGTTCGCGCTGGGCCCGCCCGAGTTGCGGAAACAGATGGCTAAGGGAAAATCCTTCGTCATATCCTCAGGGGATGTGGTCGCGTACATGGGATTCAGTCAGGAGATCGCGGAGGCGAGGGAGCTGTTTGAGCGGAACCAGCCCCAAGTGGCGAAGGAGGTGGAGATGACGAACGGAGAAGCCAAGAAGGAGGCCAGGGAGAATGGCACGGCTGTAACAGTTGATGTGAAGGCTTAATTAAGTACGATGTGATTTAACTGTATAGCATTCGGTCATAGAGCTGGGAATAGACGTGGTTTACACCTAGACAGCGGCTTTTACGATATAGAGGGGATATCGCCTTACTCCTCCTCCTTTTCTTCCTTTCCCCCCCCCCTTTTTTTTTCTTTCTTTCTCTTTGTTGAGCAGGATGAAGAAACGGCTCTGTTCTCTCTGAAAAAAGCTGCGCAGGGTGCAGATATAAGTCCATATTCACCGCACTGCACAGCGAAATTAGCTGCGGAGTTGTAGTAGAAATTGACCAATGCAAAGCAGGCGAGACGTAGGGGTTTCGCGTAGAAAATCCAACCAATGAGCGCTCATACCGTCTGACACTACGATATTAACTTCGTTGCATGGAAATCATAACTGTCAGAAGAAAGGCCTACAGCAAACTGTAGCATTGAAAACGAGCGTTGTTGTTACTATCTCCTTCGAAAGAGAAACTGCGTATGGGATAGGAGATTTCTACAGAGGAGATGAAACGCGCGTAGAGATTGCCAGGGGCTCAGGGGCATTGCGCCGGCCGATACGCAGGCTGCAGGAATTGACCAATGAGAGTGCGTATAGTTTGGGACACTACCTGACCGAACGCCGACCAAAAGCATTGACTATGACCGTATTTTTGTTCGAGAGGCAACCTACAATACGCGTGCAGCACCCTTGAGCAGGAGAACGGCCTAGTACAGAATTGCAACCGCCAAGGGAATGAATTACGAGGCAGAAGAGCTTGACGAGGCAGTTGCCAAATTGGGCAGCCCAGATACCCAGTAGATTCTCCTACTTACCAGCCACATATTCTCGCAGAATCTGGTCCGGGGCCGAGGAAACATTTTTATTCCTCGGTTGTCTACTCCGTACAGCTACTCACAATCTGGATACGCTGAGGTCTGGGTCTAGTGTTTTGCTGCGAGGATGTTTATCAACAGCACAAGTCTGAGGATTTCTTGAACTATTTCGCCCGAAACTCATTTATCGACTTCACTACGAACAGCAGCGGCTAAGGTGCATTACTCAACGGAAAAGCTGTAGCTGATAGCCTATCGCCGTCAACCATACCTTTCTGTTTTAAGAGATTTAAGGTAGATAATGCCACTATACTAGTACACCAGTCTTAACCTCTCCAAATTCCACTTCCACTTCGAGACCTGAGCACACGTGACTATAACCTGAACGATGAATAAGCAGGCCTGAGATGTGGCTGTGTAAGCCTGTTCTGAGTCTGAGCATGCCTGAGCATCCTTGAGTATCGACTAAATTCTACCCTGATGACCCTAATGGGGGGCCGGATTCTGGGCCGCTCCTAACTCGGAGAGCCCAGATTCGTGCCCCTCAGGTTGTTGGGTCTAATTCCCGGCCCCTATCACTCGCGTATACAGTCATTACGCAAAAGTAAGGGTCCACAGAAATTTCACACCCCACCCAACCTTTTACATCCCACCATACAATTTACTACTGCATAATGCAAACTTATGGGAATTTGACGAGACCTGTTGCAAAATGTTCGCAAATAGCTGCTCTTGAAGCTGAGCTATTTCCTAATTAGGCCTCTTGATCCTAGTACTTGGTGTGCCAGCCTTTTGCCTTTCGGAGCGCTCCTACCCTTTTGGGCATACCCTTTATTAAATTATCGATATACTCTTGATCTAGAGCATTCCATGCCTCTTCAATTGCCCTAGTTAATTGATCATAGGCCTCTTGAGATTTGCCTATATTCAATAGCTCTGGATGGTGCTTGCATATCCACTCCTTCATCTTCGCCCAAACATGTTCAATTGGATTCATATCTGGCGAATAGGGTGCCTAATCAAGCAGGGGTATCGCATTATCTTCACACTATTTCTTGACCTTTTTAGCTGTATAGATACTTGCGTTATCCTGCATAAAGGTCCTGCCAGGTTTAAAGCATTTGAGCATCTCCTCCTCAAGAACTTTGAGATACGAATTAGCGGTATATCCCCCTCCCTTTGACGTATTATTACACTCTATTATTACTAAATCTGAACGCCCACTAAGCTAAATTGTACCCTATACTATAATACTGATATCTGCGCTCTTTTAATATAGCTGAACCATCTCCTTAGACCATTTTTGGGACGGTAATCGAAAGACTCATTCGCGTTAGGCCCCTTTCCCCTGTTCAACGGAACATTCGTCAAAGAAGATGATGAATTCCCTTTAAGTAGTCCATCTACGGTATACTAACGTCCAAGCATACCGTAGTTTTGCGTCTTCTGAATCTAATACCGGTCTTCCTTTGGCTCTCCAGTTCTTGATTCCAACAGTATCAAGAATGCGACCAAGGGTATTATTAGAGAGCTGAATTTCGATATTTCGGCAAATATCTGCGTATGTGGCTTTTGGATTGATTTGAACAAAGTGTATGATTCGTCGCTTATCTCTTTCTGTATACTTTCGAGGCCTCCCTGTACGTGGTAGGCTCTTGCCCTTAGTACGGTAGGGGTCTGCTTTAATAGTCTTCTTTGTTGAACGGGTATACGGATTAGGAACAGCTATCGACACTATCAACGGTCACAACTTGCATGCAGAGTGAGATCACAGTGCATCTGCACGTCAAGTACAGATCCTGCTAGCGCACGGATCACGTGGTATTTCCTGTGCTGGTGGCACAGGAAATCCTGTATTATACCTGATTAGGATTAACCTGATCAGGCAATATTTGGCTGTACATGTACAGCCAAATAGTGCAGACTATAGTCTGCTGATTGGCATGCATTCTCAACACTCCCCCTCAAGCCGAATCAGCCTGTGACTTGTCCTAAGACCTTGTCAATCTGAGTAAAGACACATGGTTGTTAAACAGTGGTCTAGTAAGGGGTTTGGTTAGTCTGTTAGCTATCATCTTGTCTATTAGGATGTAGTTAATCTTAATCTTATTATGTTGTACCAGGTTTCTAATGTAATAATATATAATGTTAATATACTTTAATTACTCCCCCTCAAGCCGAATCAGCTTGTGACTTGTCCTAAGAACTTGTTAATTCGAGTAGAGACACATGGTTATCAAACAGTGGTCCAGTAAGGGGTTTGGTCAGTCTGTCAGCTATCATCTTGTCTGTTGGGATGTAATCAATCTTGATCTTATTATGTCGTACAAGGTCCCTGACATGATGATATGCGATGTCAATATGCTTTGATCGATTATGTATATGCGGATTCTTGATGAGTGCTAAAGCAGATTGGTTATCTCCTAATAGGTTCATATGTCCTAAAGTAATTAAGCAAGCCAGATTGCTTGTTTTGAACAAGTTGACATGCTAATATACTTAGCCTCTGTTATTAATGTGGCCATAGATTATTGCTTTTGGCTCAGCTATAATACTGCTCCCCTTGCAAAGATAAAGACGCTACTAATTATAGACTTTCGACAAGTTAACATGCTGATATACTTAGCCTCTGTTGTTGATGTGGCCACAGATCATTACTTTCGGCTCAGCCATGATACTGCTCCCCTTGTAAGGATAAAGACGCTGCCAATTGTAGACTTTCGATCTACCTTATCGCTAGCATAGTCTGCATCAGAATATCCTACTAAAGACAGGGTTTCTAGTCTATATCGGATTCTTATATCCTTTGTTAAGCATAAGTATCTTAAAAGATGCTTTACTACAGATTTATAACGCTTTATTAGATCTAATATAAACTAGGCGAGTTTTGTTGTTACAAATATAATATCTGATCTTGTGTTTAACATTATATATATAATGCTTCTGACATACTTCTAGTATTAGTATGTATCTACTTATTTGTCTTTGTCTAATAGTAGGGCTAGAGCATTATATTTATTAATTAGTATTTTGACTAGTCTATACTTGTCCTCTTTCATGTAAAGTTCTGATATTATTTTCTTAATATAAGTTAACTAGTCTAGATATAGAGTCCTCTGCTAGTAATCACAAGTTACTCTTATACTAAGGATCCTTCTAATCTCCCCCAGATCCTTAATCTTGAAGATACAAGCAAAGTCCTTCTTGAATTCGATTATGTTAGAGAGTTATCAAGAAACAATTGCTAAGTCGTCTACCTAAGTGCTGATGATTATTCCTTTATCGTTCACAAAGATACACAGATCAGAAGGAGATGGTTTAAAGCCAAGTTTTAGCAGGCCAGCTATTATATAGTTGTACTAATCCCTAGCGGCTTGTTTTAAACTATATAAGCTTTTTAACACGTGCAGAGCCATCCTATTTAGTATGTTGACTCTATCAAGGGGTGACATATATATCATCTCTGTGTTAGTGGATTCTGTAAATGCATTATTAACATCTATCTAGTGGCATTCCAAGTTCTCTACTACTATAATTGCTAGCAACACCCTTAAGAAGTCTATACACATTGTCAGGGCAAAGGTTTCTTTATAATTAATACTATATCTTTGCAAGAAACCCTGAGCCACAAGTCTGGCTTTAAATCAATCTACTCCCCTATTCTCTGCATACTTAACATCAAATACCTATTTGCTTATAATAATATTAGATCCTGCGGGAAGGACAACTTACTTTCAAGTCCCGTTTACTTACAATGCTGTAAGTTCTCGCTTAATTGCATTAGTCTAGTCTGCGCCAAAAATAGGATCTAAGATTGCCTGTCTGTACGTTGTCAGAATCGGGATCTTTTGCTGACATACTATATATGCTCCTGTGATCTTTTGATCTTATAGTTTGTAGCTCTCATCATCATTATCATCTCGACTTCGCTTACCTGTCACTTGTAGTCCTGCCTTAGTAAGTCTATTTGTTTACTATTAAAGACCTAGTTTTATAGTATTCTTTTCTGTTTTTATTACAATAACCTCCTTATCTTTTTAGCTACCTAGTATCAAAGGAACTTTAATTAATATCTTAACAAGTGCCTTTATTAATAAATTAATTTCCTTTACTATTAACATAAGAGATACCTGATTAATTAAGTTAACTATATATAATATAGCTAGATTTAGTTCAGCATCTTAATCAGTA